TCTCACTGCCTAGACAGAGGTCTCATTACTTGTTTTCCTCTCACTTTTGCGCACTGTCTAATAAACACACAACGATAATAATTAAATCCGTATATAACTAATGCAGTGATAAGATGACGGTCGACAGCTCAGCAAAAACGAACATTGACGCGAGAGAAAGGTGAAGGAAAACTTTTTAAACGGCAAGAATTTCTTAAGAAGGAAAAAAAAAACATGAAGCAAAACGCTCTCGCACCAAAAATGAGAAAAGAGAACACGACATCTTTTTTTGTGTTGTTTGCTGCTGCTACTGCTTAAAGTCACAACCGATCGAAACCGGTCGCATACCGAAACAAACAAACGACTTACTTCTTTGGCTGTGGCGCTCCTTTGTTTGTTTTCAAATACGCTGAAGAAGCGTAATGCACACAGGAAAACGACGCCCAACCGAACCATCGAAATCGACTTGACTGATGGTCAACACACGCATACTCTCCGACAAAACACTCGCCCAGAGTAAATCACCAATGCTAGAAACTAGTTAGAATACTATTTGAACATTGATGGCTTTTTCTATCACTTTAGGTTCTGTAAATGATACCTAATCTTATCTTGGGTTCTCGATCAATGTTCCGGCTGCTGGTAGTGACTTACATGATTTTTCGGCACGATCAAAAATTGTCGATCCAAATCAAACTGTCAAAAAAGTATCGTAACTATCAAATCGATTTGAGTGTTGTGCTTGTTTTTGTGTCAGTTGTGGTCGACAACGACGACGGCATTTAAAAATAAAACGCAGCCAAACAGGTGAATATAACGGAAGTACCACTTCAGACAATGTTTAAATAGATTTGAGTTAGAAACGGTGTCTGCTGAAAATGACATGATTTCTTTAAAAAGAAAGAAAAAGCAACATGTTTTCATTTCAGACAGGAATTGACGCATAATAAATCGTCTGAATTGTCGCGCATACACACACACACACACGTTGCAATAATCAGTGTTGGGTGGGGAAACTTCATTTAGATTACATTTTAATGTAATAATTCATTCAGTCGACCGAAAAACAGTGCAACAAGCGGAAAAAAAGAGAATCGAAGCCAAGTTGATAGATTGACAAAAATGGTGTCGAAGATCGGCTTGAGAGTGCCGGTTTTTTTTTTTTGCTGTTTCTACATCGGCATTTTCAATTTCACTGTGCTGCTGTGCAAACAATGAGCGCAAAAATGTGTGCTAAATGAACATTTTGCATGTTTTGATGCTGTTGTTTCGTGTGATTGCGAGAGCAAAATGTAATGATGATTTTAGTTTCGTTTTAAGCACGCATGGATATATTCTTGAAATGAAATTGCAAATGTGAAGCATGTTGTGTGGACTTGTTGCAATTCTCTCTTTCTCTCTCTCTCTCTCTCTCTCTCTCTTCCAATCAATACTTTCTCTTATCTCGGTGCAGAAACAAATCAACTCACACACACGGTTCGTTGCTCGATCCAGAAAAAAATCCATGCAAGAATGTAAGCCAAAACCGGCTCTGAAAGTAAGACACACATTGCTCAGGCCGTTTGTTGTTTTTTTTTATGTTTCGTTTGTACGCTCGTCGTCATCGTATGTGAACAACTACAGCCAAATAATATGGCGAAGCAAATAAGAACGTTTCAAGTGCATTTACAGTTGCAAGTGTGTTGTGTGCACGGAATTTTCTCTTTCGCTCTTTTCCATCTTTTTTTGTTGTCTTGTTTTCGATGTTTGTGTTGCGAATAAACAACAAAAAACAATAACAAATTGTTTACAGTTCATTCGTTTGATTTTGCTCGAATTTCATTATCTCTTTATCGCAATCGCACTTTGCAAATGCAATGGATATTTATCGACTTTTCGGTATTCGACCAACGATCTCATTTCGCACAAATCAAGTGCATCAAACAATGTGTTGAATAATTTCGGTTACTTGAAATGCTTTCAACAAACTCCGAACAAATCTCTTTTCAAAGTTCAAGGCGAATTTTTGGTGGAGAAATTCGGCTTAATGTTTCAAACGCGAATTTCAGGAGCAAAGCTATGCTTTAAAAGAATTCAAAGCAAATTCTCGTGAAGTTGTATGCATTGAAAGTTTTTATCGAAACATATGTTGTTTGTCAGTATAGAAATACGGTCTTGTCACCATCTCAACTCGGTAATGCGTTCAATGGAAACATCTACGCAAACGAAATGTAAAATATGGCGTTGAGTTAACGATGCACATTTCAGTACATCTTAAATTGAAAATTAAAAGGGCGAACGTTTATCTCTATTCATCCAATATTGAAATTGATGTGAATAGTTATTTTCTAAACGCCGTCACGTTCAGGACTTAACGCATTTTCATTCGATTATTGCTCGCTTGACGTTGAAATATTAACGGTCGAAACATTTTTCACTTCTAAATTTATCTAAATAAACAAAACCAATACAGACACTATGTAATCATGACGATAAGTACACACAAACACCCAAACAACGAGAAAAAAAAACACCTTCTCATTTTGCCAAAACGGAAACGAACAAGGGAAAAATAACTAACCAAACGGGCTGAGTCAGCGCAACCAAACACAACAGCCAATGATTCAATATTTATTTTTTCACCACGAAGCGAAACTATGAAAACGGAACGAAGAAAAAAAAGCTGAAAAGTAAAAATGAGTAAAAAGAAGAAGTAGCATCAAAGTGGATTGCATCATAAAACTTTTGACAACTTTCGAATTCTGTTTCTCTGCAGTCAGAATTTTTGCGTAAATTTTTCACTTGATTCGAATTGAAAATTAAACATAAGAAATATGCAATGCTCAAAAACGCGATTCAATCAAGTTAATGCCTAAAAATTGAAATGCAAAGTGTTGGAATGATCGAAGAAAAAACCATCCGATGAATCAATAAAATATTGAAAATGACTCGATGATTTGAAGAAAGCGCCAACATTGAGAATACAACTCAGAGCTGCTCTCGCACACTCACCGTGTTTTGAAATTGAAGCGGCAAATGAATAAATACGTAAAGATGAAGAAGTTAGACGATGAAAATTAAATTAGATTCGATTTGACCCCAACTTTCATGTAATTCAATTTAAATTGTGCATATTGTTGGTGGAGTGTGGTGGCCGCGTTAACACGCACGCGCTCATGACTCTTCATTTGTATTTGGCAAAAATGCTCAACTGCACATAATGTGTATCGGTTGTGGTCTTAGAATGTATCGCTACAACAACACACAGTCGACTCCACATAATGGCCACATTCGAGTGTGTTAAGTGAACCTAAGTGCGAAAGCAATCACAATTGACACAAGTCAAATGAGACAGAGCGGGAGCAAACACATACGTTCGTATATTTGTCCATTGAAGAAATATCGGGCCATATTTATTTCTTATAATTTAATTAGGCAAACGACCCGAATGAACGAAACGTAGAACTACTGAAGCATGTGGAAACGAAAAAAAAGAAGACTTGTGCTGCATGAAGAATCATATCGATTGCAGTCAAACAGAACATTGCACAGAAGTTATCTCTGGTCAAAATCGATGCAGAAAATAAATACAATGCTCGTTTCAAATATGCATCGCTATTTTCTAGTGTGTGTGTGTGTGTGTGTCCTGTTCTTTTGTCATCCGAGTCCCTTTTCCATCGATTTAGAAAATGTGCCATTCATTTGTGAATACATAAAATATGGTACCGTTAAGAATGAAATCGGTTTGTTTTGCTGATTACTGCATAATTGATGGTATGACACGGTTGAATAAGTCAATTGTACATACATAATTTTTTTAACTTTGATAGCCAACGATATTTATGTGGGCAAGCGGTGCATTCGCATTGAAATGTAAAACGAGTCAATGGCACCATTCTTGAGCAGCAACTTGTTGAAAACAATAAATTTTCTGTGATTTTGGCATTCTTGTTACACAAATGGACGTTCCGTGACCATTCATCGACATGTTTTTTTCAATTATTGTTGTGCAAATCAAATGAATGAATAGAATTAGAACAGAAGGAGAAAAAAAACGTGCGATTGATTCAGGTAAACTCGGCAATTATTACTCGCCATCAAGTCGTCTCACAATAGAATTATGGCTTTATTAGATTTGAATTGATGACTCAGTCTCAGTTCCTGATTGCAATTTGGATTTTAAAACAAATGGTCTTTCGTTTGAATATGGTTCGTGAAAGTCGTTCACTGTTCACTCGATATGTGCTGTTATGATTCGAACCATATCAGTAGACCGATGTTCAAATGTGTTGACTCTTTTCGGCACTTGTTGAGTGTGCACGTCCATGAAGACGAACGAATTACGTTATTGTAGATGACAAGAAGGAGAGAAAGAGAGAGCGAAAAGTAGTAAACGCCAATGTAAACAATACACTTCATACTGAATCGGCTATCGCATTCATGTATTCCGCATTTCAACAATGACACGTTTTGTTTGTTTAAAGAGACACCACTGATGGGAATGAAAAACAAAGACAAACAAAAAACTGCCAATAAACTCGCTTCGTTGAGTCGTTTCCCTTTGACATTTCTGGATTGGAAATGTATAACGTCCACGCAAAAACCGATTGACACCTTTTTTTCTCTCTCTCTCTCTTGGGTCGTCGCACGCTTGCATTTACACTTTCGAAATGTGACAACATTTAAATTGCCTTTCGACCGACACAGTCGAAACGATGCTTTTAATTAAGGAGACATTTCGAAAGCAGCGGCACTTATGAATTTATTTGTGACCATTCAATTGGGTGGAAAATGAAGGACAAAAAATCGACAATTTTAAAAGACTGTTGAACAATTTTGGTTTCGAGATCAATCGAATTGTTTTGCTTTTCTTTTTGTAAAAACTGAATTTTTCGTCATTCATCATTTATCATCATCATCTAGCAGTAGACAGATTTTTTTGTCGAGTTTGATCATAATTTTTAAATATCAACTAGAATATTGAACGACTTAATTTGGGTAAATTATTCTAATTTTTCTTCTTCTTCTTCTCATTTCAACAGCTATTACAAAATCTTGGCAAAGTTGATCGAACGGCCGATGAAATTTTTGATGAACATTTAACGAATTTCAATCGTCAACAAAATAATGCGACCCGTCTTCAAAAGGAATTTAACAATTACATACGTTGCATCCGAGGTATGCTGTTGCGTTCGATTCACGGAATCGAAGTATATATTAACTTATTCTATGCTTCCAAATTGAGGAATTGGCTCTTTTGTATTTGACAAAAGTTCTTTTCATGCATTGTTAATTTATTTGGTTTTATTCTTCTCTCTTGTTCATTTCATAGCCATGCAAACGGCATCGAAATCGTTGATGGAAGCCATTGATGATGTGTATGAATCACAATGGACGGGTGCTGATGCATTGAATGCTCAAACACAACAAATTGATTCATTGTGGCAAGACTTTTCGCATAAATTGGGCGACCAAGTGCTCATTCCGTTGAACACATATACGGCTCAATTTCCGGAAATGAAAGTAAGACCAAAACATTCAATTTCAAGACTTTTCTATCCCTCTATTCCGGCACCAATATCTATTTTGACGCAAAAGAAGCTCAATTCTTTGTTCTCTTGGTGTTGATGAGTTCATTTCATGTTCTTCTAAATCCAAACAAACACCCATGATGAGCATTAAAGAAGTGCAATTTTGTTGTCTCTTTCTCTGATCCTCATTTAAATGCATTCGCTTCATCTTTTCAACAGAAAAAAATAGAAAAACGTAACAGAAAATTAATTGACTACGATGGACAACGGCATTCATTTCAAAGTCTTCAAGCGTCGGCGGCCAAGCGTAAGGATGATGTTAAGGTGACAAAGGGACGCGAACAATTGGAAGAGGCGCGACGAACCTATGAAATATTGAACACGGAATTACACGACGAGCTGCCTGCATTGTACGATTCACGGATCTTGTTTTTAGTCACCAACTTGCAAACGCTCTTCGCATCGGAACAAGTGTTCCACAATGAAACGCAAAAGGTAAACACCAAAATTAAAGCCACACGAATCATTTTTTGTTGATTCATATAAACCATTCAATCAAATGTTGGATTTAATGCTCTTCTTCATTTCGTGCAGGTTTATGCTGAATTAGAAGCGATTGTTGATAAATTGGCCACAGATTCACAACGTGGATCCTATACTATAAAGAAAATTACAGGTATTACTATTCATCTTCTTACCTCTTCATTTCATGGCACCGTTTCTATGGTCGTCAATTTGTTTTTTGATGTGGGGTTTATCATCCTCTTTCGGTTGTACAATTTTAATATACCTCTTTCTATCGATCACTATGTTTCTCTGTCCTTTCTCTTGATGATTCCCTTTTAGCGAGTGGCAATTCGAGCCCACCACAATCACCAATCAAATCAAACAGTGCCACGGTTAACAATCTTTATCCAGACACAAATACACTCACAAATGGCGGAGGTTCCAGTAATGGAAATAGTCGTATGTATATTTCGATGATGATGATGAACATTCTAATGCTGTAACCATAACTAACTAACTCGCTAAAAACTGCAAACACGGCTTCATTCCAAATGTTAAAAAAAAAACAAACAAAAATCGTTTGCAAACGAATAATCAACAATAATCATACTTGAATGTGTTTAAACACTAGATTTTGGATTTGATACTAAATTTTTTTTTGTTGCGTTGTTTGAATTGACCAAGTATTTTTTCGAATGGATTAATAACTGATTAATATCGAAACGATAACCGATCATTGATTCTAACACAAATTTGGATGATTAGATTTTCGCAATCGAAAATGTCCCCGAACATTTGGAAAAGATTTCTCAAAAAAAAAAAAAAACCGTTACAAAAATGTGTTTTTCCAAATTGATATCTATTCCCAAAAACGAAAAATATGCAGAAAAAAAGTTTCTGGATAAATCCTCAGAAAAATGCCCCAAAAACCTTTGTCAATCGATAAAATTTCGAAACGTACAATGTCAAACTCAAACGATTTGTCCATGAAATGAAGCATATCATTCTTAGCCAGTTAGTTTCTTATGTTATCTCACGGAATTTCGGTTCGAATTTCGTTTTGGCATTTGAACTAACAGCATGTCCCGTTTATAATATTCCTTGTGTTTTTTTTCTCTTTTCATTCCTCTTCGATCGAAATTAAAAAAATTGCGCGCGTCCAAAAAATTCGAACACAAAAACGTTGTCTATCTCGCCCATCCTGAACAATGCATCCGAATGCAATTTGTAAATAAAATCGCACGTCATACACCAACACACACACACACACACACACATACACCAAAATATGTACAAATGAAAAAAATCATCTGCTCGGATGTATATATGTCAAATGAACGACGCACGTGATAATTTGCTGAATGTGCAAAACGAACCGTCCAATCGCTCGGAACCATGGAAATGCAACCAAAACGAAATTTGCACATGCAGCAACATCGTCAAGCAGTGCGCCATCATCGCCTAAAGAGCAACCACAATCTTTATCGTCGTCAGGTAATGATTCCGAAACGAATGCTGTCGATGGTGAAACCGAGGAATTGGACAACGACAAATCATTGACAAATGGCAAATCCACCATCACGAACAATGACGACAGTGGCAATGCTGAACCATCGTATCAAAATAATGCCGTTGTGGCTGCCGTTCGAGCATCACGGGCCGCGCAATCGGATGCTGAATACGAGAATACCGTGCAAACGGCGAACACATCCGAAACAAATGGATTGAATTGTAGTGCCAGTAGCTCAACAGCTGTTAATAACAACAACAATGTGGCCAACGTTGCTTCGAGTGAATTGGTGAATGGCAATGCCACTGACGCAGCCAAAAAATCATCTGCCGATGCTGCAAGTAAGGACCAGTTGTATGACGTGCCCGTCGGTGAGTTTCGCTATTTATCCTCATCATATTGTGAGTTGGGAGAATGTGACACACATATAAAAACACACTCAATCGCGTCACAATCCGTTTCGATCCATTATCATTTCTTTTCTTCTTCTATTTCGACACACGTGAGCGTTTTGCCACGTGACACATATATATCATCATGCCGCGAAATCGTTCACTGTCCTCATGAAAGTCTAAATCGAAAAAGTCTATTTCAATATAATTTATTTGCATTTCTGACACTAAGATCATACAACACACAGTCTCTGGACATTTTTCCAAATGGAAGACAGAAACATCACCTACTTTGTTAAATGCATGGGTTTATTTGCTTATGTTGTTGTTGTGTCGTTTTGTTCAATCGCTTACGTTCAAAAAGTACATTCATTGTATTGTTTTGGAATACATATATGCGCATAGCGTTTGCTAAATAGTTTTTTTTTTTCTTTGTTATTGTTTTTTTTTCTCGTTAATACTTTTTTTCTTTGGCCACGTGTACTACCGTCCCATTCACACCGCGAACACGCTTACCTGCTATGCTAAAAAGGCGCGAAATCATTGTTTTCGTTTACTTATCAACGCTACCATTGTCTAATTTTTCATTTTTTTTTTTTGGCATTTACAATTCAATTACTTTATGAACAATCGTTTGATTTTTCGTTCATTTTATTTTTTGGCTCATTCTTCTTTTTTGTTGTTGAAAATTAACGTGCTAAACCACACAAATTAATCAAAACAAAATTATTGCGCAAAAAAAAAGAACAAATCAATTTACAAATTAGACAATCTTAAGTAAAAAATTTAATCTAGACATTTCAGCGGTTAACACGAAATTAACCAATTTTATCCACAATTGAATTATATGATTGTATTCATTTGGAATAGGTGCAACTACAACAGATTTACCGCCTGGTGTCCTCTACAGAGTAAAAGCTACATACAAATATGTCAAAGAGGATGTTGATGAGTTAAGTTTTGATGTTGGAGAAACCATTCAAGTCATCGAGTATGACGATCCAGAAGACCAGGTAATTGAGCGAGACTAGCCTTCTTGAGTCATTTTTACAATTCGTCGTAATATCATTTTTTTACAAGAAATTCTTTCAAGAAACAACATAAATTTCTTAAATTTCTTTTAATTTCTCTTTTTTTCACATTTCATGAATGTTTTTAATTTTTTTTCCATAATTTTTGAATATTTTCAAAATATTTCTTTTTTTTTCTAATTGATTTTTTTTCAATTTCCAAATTTTTTCTCAAATTGTTCGATTCTATTTTGTTTCTCATGATTTTTTGTTGCATTTCAATCTTCCAAATCTCTTTCGATTAAATTCTAACCTAAAAAAGAGAAAACAAAATTGTTGAATTATCTTTTTTCATTCGTTTCGATTATTGCAGGAGGAGGGTTGGTTGATGGGCCAGAAGGAAGGTACAAATGAGAAGGGTTTGTTTCCGGCTAATTTCACTCGACCATTGTAACATTGACAGAGTAACAATAACACAGTCACCCTGTTTCTATACACATACAAACAAAAATGCGAACGTAAAATCACCAGTTAGTAACCGGTATATCAATCAAAATAACGAAGATGACCAACCACAAGTATCGCATGGGAATGAATGCAAAATAATGCATCAGAATCAATTGGCCATTTCAATGAAACAACAACAGCGACAAGAAATTGTTCTATATTAATAACAAAAGAAAGAAAAAGCAAAACAAACAAACAAGAAACAATGCAACTCCACCATAGAAATTAATTTTTACAATTAATTCATCGCATATTCACTTGATAGAGAGACACTTTGTCGATTTCATCCGATCAATAGAAAGCATGATGGGCATTGAATGAACTTTTGAATTATTGATATTTGAAGAAGAAAAAATGCCGACAATTATCCAATTTGCATCATGGAAAGCTATTATTATTTTGGAAAAAAGAGCAACAAGTCCGGAAAATATTGACCATTCAAAATTTCAAATTGCGTCATTCAGCCAGAAATCAAAACACATAATTAAGTCGAACCACAAACAATCCGTAAATAACAAAAAAAAAATCTACGACTAGATATATTGTAAAAAAAAAATAAACAAAAGATTGCCTATTGCATGCAAGACAACTCTGGAGGGGTGGCAAAAACTTTTAATAACAAAGACACTAGCAAATGATGTTGTTTTCTTTTTGTCAAATATTGTAACAAATTGTTCGAAAAAGAAAAATCAATCAAATCGAACACTTATATCGTTGAATAATATTTTACGGTTTTTTTCCCTCTCGAAATCAACATATATAAGAACAATGTATTGTATTTTGTACATAAAAATTTATCTTTTAAAGGAATTTACACAAGAAAAAGAAACACGAGAAGAGAAATGAAACAAAAAAATGATGAAAACAACTTTATTTTTTAATAATAATGAACTAAATCTGTGGAAGAGAGTAACGAAAACACATAAATTAATCAAAAAAAAAAAATTGAGAAGAAATTGAACCGAGTCGTGAACATAGTGAGAGAATGGTTTTTTTTTTTTAATTAGATACAAAAATTTAAAACAAAAATGATTAATTTTGAAGAAGAAAAAACTAATAAAACTCCTCGGATTTTTTTTGTCAACATATTATGAGATATTGCATTTCCAAGTGCAATTCCACTTTCATACTAATATAAAATGACTGTATCAAGCCTCTCGAACACGGTATATGGATGGACAATTAATACTTATATATATTTATATATTGAGCAAAGAAAAGCGAATAGTAAAACAATTGAATTAAAAATATGCGATGATAATATTTATTAATACAAAACAAACACAACTAATTTATTACTATTTGGAGAAAAAAAAAACGTGAATTTTTTTTCTTCCCCGCAGAAGATGACGATCAAGTTCAAATTCAGGAGGATACACTTTTTCTGACCGAAAATAACATTTTGCTTTGAACGGATGAATTGAGCCTGGTTTCCACTAATTCAATTCATTTTTTCATTGAGTATCCCTGACCCGGAATTTGTTTTCGGAACCGCCAAAAACAAAAGTAAAATCCAAATGAATCAAAACGACGTGTTTTCATTTTGTGTCAAATTATATTAATGAACTAAGCAAAAGGACATTTCGACAAAAGCAACAAATTTTTTTTTGATATAATCTTCCATTTTTATGCGTCAAATCAAAAAAAAAATGCGATCAAAATCGGAACAAAATGTGTTAAAATTGAAAAAAAGCGGAAAACTCAAGATATTCGATTTTCTAATCCCAAATGAACCATTTGCGGAGATATCCAGTGTACAGCGAAGCTGTGCGGAGTTTGGCGGAGATTCCGTACATGCGCTATACGTGTGAGCGAAACAGCACTCTTTGCTGTATTTACATTTCTATTGTTCAATACACATCTAAGTAGCCATGAGCGCACTAGATATAGTGTATGTATGGCATCTCCGCCGAACTCCGCACAGCTCCGCTGTGCACTGAATTTCTCCGCAAATGGTTCACATGGGATGTCACGTGTACGAAACTCTAAAAAAAAAACTCCGCAAAGAAACAAGATTTTTTTTATCAGTTCAGAAAAAAAACGTATATTGATTGAAATCGCACAATACATATTTTGATTCAATGGCCTTAAATTCCACCTTTTTTTTCTTGTTGAGAATCGAACGAAAATTGTGTAGTTTCACTGTTCGACGCCACCACAACTACCTTAGCCATTTATATTGGAAGTGCTCTCGCTTATTTTTACTTTTGCAACACACACCAGTTGTCCAAGTAAATATTGTGCAATTTCATCGATGTAATAGCATTTCAATAATACAATTTAAATTTTTTTTTCTTTTTCTTTTTTGTTTTTGTCTTCAGTTCTTTTGTTATTTCATGTCAGATTACTGCAACAAGATATATGTTCTTTCCGATGGGAAAATACACACACACACACACACACACAATTCTGTATTTATACGTTACTTTAGAAAAACGATAATAAATTGTTTAATAAACAAAACAAAATCAGTGTTGCTTTGATTTGCCTTTTCTTCTTTGGTTTAGCATTAGGAAAAAAAGTCACCTCATAATGGAAAAAAATCAAAGTTTAAGCTGAAAAAAAAAAACAGAAATAATGTGGACGAGAAAAACCATTCCGGAGTTTATGAATTTTTAAGCGCATTTTTCTTTGATGTTCTAAAACGAAAACATTTCCACGATTGGTGAAAAGGCTATAACAGAAATCTAGATGAATGAAGCCGCTATTCGGTTTGATTTGGCCACCTTATTTGATCTTTTTGTCTTTGCACAGTTTTTTAATGGATACTTCGATGGCGTTCAACCTTCAATTGGTTTAAATAGAAAAGTGCATGAGAAAAACAATTCAAATTAATTTACACTTTTACACGGACTGTGCTTCTGATGTTTCGAAGGGTTGAGCCTTGAGCGAAATCAAATTTCAATCTGGCAGGCGGTAGTAAATAGAGGTAAAAGTACTGAGTGACGAAAGCCAATATTTGAAACTTCGGTTGTACTTGATCTCTTGCATATAATTAAACTTACCTTTCTTTCATCAAGAACATTCATTTTCGTAAACATTTTATGAAAATGTTTCTTTCGAAACATTTGATTTAGACAATTCGACTAAATTTGCATTGACGAATGTAAGTGCTTATGATCACAATATGAAACTCTAAGTGAAATGAAATACACCATAAATTCCATGAATATGTTCAAATGTTTTATCAAAAGTCACAATGGATATTGTTATATTGTATGTTGTCAAAGTTATAATTGTAAACATTGAAAATTCATCCGAAAATATATTTTATTTTTATTTTTATTTTTTTTCAATAATTTGAGGAAAAGGAAATTCGTTGACATTAATTGAAAGAAATTAATCCATAACTAAACATGTTAGTATTATGGTTGAAATTATTAATTGGGTATGTTCATTCACAGAAGCGATTTTTGTCGACAAATATATTGGATTTGTTTTCAGCAAATTTTCCAGCATTTAATTCTTCGAATAATACATCCGCGTGTATACAGGTAGTCGGCTTTAACGAAACAAATTTTCAATTTTTTCTTTTTACCATATTGCACAATGACAAATGCTCTGAATTTAATCAAGTTTTGAATCACAAGCTCAAACGATGATATAACTTTGATCACTTGTGCGTATGTTGATTTCAGTAAATCTTCCAAGCTCGGATTTATTGCTGCGTTGATCCAATCGGATATCAAGTGTATATCTGCATAATTTGTTGGGCGCCATACTTGACTTCGCACTGGACCGATTAAAACGATCGCCACTAGAATGCCCAGATAGACTACTGGTGCATTTTTAATTTGGCGATACATCTCGATATAATGATTCGTTTTACAATTGACTTTGTAAACTGTGATCAGGTCCCATCATCTATCCATATATATATTAAATTATTTTTAATTAATTATTTTTATTTAGTCACAAACATCGGTGACTTTTTTTTATTTATATTTTTTCATGACTTTCATGACTTTCATGTGGCTTTGCTTCGTTACGAAAACATTTTGGTATTTTTAACTGAATAAAATTGATTATTTTTCATTCAATGATGGCTCAATACATCAAAAGCAGAAATAATTTTTAAAAATAACATTGTCAGTGGAAACAAAATTCAGATCGAAAAACAAAAGTATAGTCGTTGGTCGGCTTTATTCATATTACCTTAAGAATCAAAGAGGCAGGCAATTTTATTTAATTTTGAAATCTTTATTCTTTTATTTTTGAGGAGACAAACATCGGTGACCTTTTTTATTCATATTTTTATGACTTTCATGTGAATCACAGCCTCGAACTTTTTATTTTTGAATATATCTTTCAACATTTTTGCCAGCAATCTGAGTTTGAGCAATTTTTCTGCCAGTTCTTTCTGGTCGCTAAATGTTGATTGAAAAATCATCAATTTTCAAAAATACGAAATTAGCTGTCTCTGCGATTTATTCATAGACATTTTCTTAAATTTAAATTATGAAAAACGATTGAATGACCACTTTAACCCTTTATCACATATCGGTTCCTAAAGTAACCAGATGCTATAGCTATGAAACCACGGAATATTTTTGCATTCTTGTTTGGAAACAAATGTAGGGAATTGAACTAGCTTTCATTTGATACTTTACAGGCTACAATTGATTAGCTGAATGGAAAGTTTTTTCTGTTCATGTACTGCTGTAAAAAAAATGCGAAATTATAGTAGAATTCCACATTTTTCCTCCTCTAATCTTGTGAGTTTGTACACTCTTTTCAATTGTCAAATTAGGACTCGTAGGACCAAAACACATCAATTAAACTTTCTGCATCATTAGTTTTATGAAATTTAATTTTTTCAAGCTTTTATAGTGTTTTGACACTTTTGACTCTTTTCCTATTCTCTCGACGAATACGCAATTTTTCAAAAATCTAAGTATGAGGTCTTTCTCTATTTTTCGTGGCACAAAACATATATCAAAATGATTCAAAAACAAAAAATTGTTCATCAAAGGGTTAATGAAAAATCAACAAAAATCCCGAAATTGGTGAAACGGTTTGTTTGTATTTTTTTATTTTTCTGCGTATCATCTTCCAAATCGCCTGAAACAAATTCTATTCCAAAGTAAACCTAAAACTGAATAAACAAGTTTCTTAACGATAGTACAAGGAAGGATGACCATTACGATCGACTTTGGTATCGAATCGCATTTAAGTTACAAATTCGTAGAAAAATCGCACTTTTGTTCTGGAGGCTTTATATTTATTTGATTAATACTCAGTTCCCCGTTATTTTGGACAACAGTGCGGAAAAGTTCGTTTTATATCGGTAAGAACCTTTTTATTGTAGTCCTTCAGCGACTAGAAAGAACTGGCAAAAATTGCTCAAACTCAGATTGCTGGCAAAAATGTTGAAAGATATATTCAAAAATAAAAAGTTCGAGGCTGTGATTCACATGAAAGTCATATAAATATAAATAAAAAAGGTCACCGATGTTTGTCTCTTCAAAAATAAAAGTATAAAGATTTCAAAATTAAATAAAATTGCCTGCCTCTTTGATTCTTAAGGTAATATGAATAAAGCCGGCTAACGACTAAACTTTTGTTTTTCGATCTGAATTTTTTCCCCACTGACAATTTTATTTTTAAAAATTATTTCTGCTTTTAATGTATTGAGCCATCATTGAATGAAAAATAATCAATTTTATTCAGTTAAAAATACCAAAATGTTTTCGTAACGAAGCAAAGCCACATGAAAGTCATGAAAAAATATAAATAAAAAAAAGTCACCGATGTTTGTGACTAAATAAAAATAATCAATTAAAAATAATTTAATATATATATGGATAGATGATGGGACCTGATCACAGTTTACAAAGTCAATTGTAAAACGAATCATTATATCGAGATGTATCGCCTTATTAAAAATGCACCAGTAGTCTATCTGGGCATTCTAGTGGCGATCGTTTTAATCGGTCCAGTGCGAAGTCAAGTATGGCTCCCAACAAATTATGCAGATATACGCTTGATATCCGATTGGACCAACGCAGCAATAAATCCGAGCTTGGAAGATTTACTGAATTCAACATACGCACAAGTGATCAAAGTTTTATCATCGTTCGAGCTTGTGATTCAAAACCTGATTAAATTCAGAGCATTTGTCATTGTGGAATATGGTAAAAAGAAAAAATTGAAAATTTGTTTCGTTAAAGCCGATTACCTTTATACACGCGGATGTATTATTCGAAGAATTAAATGCTGGAAATTTTGCTGAAAACAAATCCAACATATTTGTCGACAAAAATCGCTTCTGTGAATGAACATACCCAATTAATAATTTCAACCATAATACTAACATGTTTAGTTATGGATTAATTTCTTTCAATTAATGTCAACGAATTTCTTTTTCCTCAAATTATTGAAAAAAATAAAAATAAAAATAAAATATATTTTCGGATGAATTTTCAATGATTACAATTATAACTTTGACGACATACAATATAACAATATCCATTGTGACTTTTAATATAACATTTGAACATATTCATGGAATTTATGGTGTATTTCATTTCACTTAGAGTTTCATATTGTGATCATAAGCACTTACATTCGTCAATACAAATTCAGTCGAATTGTCTAAATCAAATGTTTCGAAAGAAACATTTTCATAAAATGTTTACGAAAATGAATGTTCTTGATGAAAGAAAGGTAAGTTTAATTATATGCAAGAGATCAAGTACAACCGAAGTTTCAAATATTGGCTTTCGTCACTCAGTACTTCTATTTATTACCGCCTGCCAGATTGAAATTTGATTTCGCTCAAGGCTCAACCCTTCGAAATATCAGCAGCACAGTCCGTGTAAAAGTGTAAATTAATTTGAATTGTTTTTCTCATGCACTATTTCTATTTCAATCAATTGAACTATGTGAGTGTTCAGGTATAGTACACAACAATTAGTTTTAAAATTAGCTATGATATTATTTCAATGTGCACACTATTGGCATTTGTTGTTTCTAAATGGAATTTCTAATGCAATGCATATGTTTTTTTTTCTTATTTCAAACGGAGCAGGGAATTTCTTTATTTGCAATTTTGATGTTCGGTATAAATGAACCGACAAGATGAACGTTTTTTTTTAAATATACATTTCGTTTTTCCCAATGATGCCGATAACTGCATCACTTGAGTTTATTCGACGTGGCAAACATTTTGATTTCTACGATAGACCACAAATCGCGTGAAGCAACAAAAGTCTCTTTGATTTATAGAATTGCAGTAACAAAAAAATACGCTTCATAGCAGAAGAAATATTCTAATTTAAATGGTAAAATAAATTTGATCGTAGTGATTCTGTCTCAAGTTTTCTTTTGTTTTTGATTGTACCGTCATTGATACTAAGAATTTGAGTTGGATAAACAAAAGCTTTGCCTTCATGGCTTCAATCAACAAAATGAAATTTCTACTGCTGCAGTGGCAATTGTGAAGGACGCGAAGACTGTGAGTTTGATGTTTGTAATAAAGATAAAATTTTGTATGTTGCTTTGATTGCAACCACAAGTAAAGTGCTTTATACTTTACTAAGAAAAGAAAAATAAAAAGTTATAAAAATGACGCTACGTGCATACATTTTTGTTCAATTTGTAAAGAACACACGATGAGTGTATTTGGTGATTCAATTCATTTTGATGTTGATCGCTGATCAGCATTAGCGAGAATTCGATGTTTGAAGCACAAGTGAATTTAGATAACCTCGCAGTAAATAACATCCAACGTCATCCGAAATTAATAGAATTTTAACGGGAATTTTAAATTTTTGCATAAATTTCTGCATCACAAGTAAAAGATTGAATCACCAATTAATTAAAAACGAAATAGCGGTATTACAAAACCTTTGAAATGCATGCAGAAAAAATTGGATTACGTATGTCATTCGTTTTATTATTATTTGAAATAAATTTTTTTTTTTTCAAAAACATCGTAGTTTCCGAATACAATTTTCCAAACTAAATATTGTAAAATTGTTCCTGAGCACTAACTAACTCTGTCAGAACAGACAAGCGAACGAATAATAAAATGACTCACATTCTAATGGAATATATATAACTAAAAGTTCTGTCCATGTTCAGGCAATTCATTGTTCCCATAAAATAAGAACTTATTCTGTTGTTTTCTTCTTAATTATCGAATGGAGAAACAATAGAATATTTACTAGAAACACCGTGAAAATAATGAATTCAAAGAAAATTTATCAAAATTTACTTCAATCATTTTATAAACAATAAGAAAGAAAGCGAATTCAAATGAATTTATCAGTTTCTGCGTCAACATAGAACACAATAACTGTAGTGATAGTACAGTTCAATATGAAAATGACGGAAATATATAAACCCAATCTGCTCATTATTCTGTGAATAATTTTGAATTTTAAATGGGATGAGCGAGAAAAAGATGATTATAATTTTAATTTTTCCGTGCGTTAATTATATACGGATTGATGTTAAGACGATGTAATTAGCAAACATCAAACTAAACAAACGAAAGGAATATAAACCTAGGTTTACCTTAATTCAGTTTCAGTTATCAATTTGAGATTGCTGAATTTAGTTGTGCAAACTGTTTGATAAATTGTTTTTTTTTTTCTCGATTGTTAATCGCAGTAAACGATTGGGTTTTCGTTCAAAATGATTCGATTTGTGGTGGTTCTTTCGATGTTCGCTTATGTGTTTGGTGGACCGAATGCTATCTCGATCGATGGTGTTGACGAATTGGATGGTCTTATAAGGTGAATTTTGTGTGTTTAGTTTTGACTGGTTGAATGTAGAGCTTAGTTGATGTGGATATACAAAATACATATGAAAACATGTCTGTTATCTAGAGTTCCCCTGACACATCGAAGACGACGTGCTGCTGATGAAAATGGATTGAAAACTAAATTGCAAAATTGGAGAGATGTGAGTCTCATGTCTACTAATGTCTGAAATATTTGGATTTATTTTAAATTTTATTTCAGGATAGAATCGGAATCGAAGTTGGCATTGGGACTCCACCACAAAAAATAACGTTGATGTTCGACACAGGCTCTTCAGATTTATGGATTGTGTCGCAGAGAGCTAAAAACAATATAAGTATGTTTTTCCAATGTTCCGTTAAATTTCAAATTGTCAACAATGAACACTGGGTAAAATGACATATCACCAAACTGTTAATTTTATATTCGATGGGTTGGTGAACTGTTTCATAATGTTCATTGAATTAACACTGGCAATTTTACATTATACCGCACATTGAAAATACATAATCAAGAATTAATTGACAGCCTGAGAGTGAAATATTATCTCACAAAATGTATTTACAGAAGAAAAATAGAACAAAAAAAAAATGCAAATAAGTATATTGTAAATGTTCTAAGCGCAAAAACCAAACACACAAATGTTGTCATCACACAAACGTTGCGCGCAAAAGTCGAACCTGCCTACTAGATTGGCCAATCCGAATAGGCTTGTTTTGTTTTTGCGCTCAACGTTTGTGTGATGCGCGGCATTTATGTGTTCGGTTTTTGCGCTTAAGAAAATTTACAATATACTTATTTGCATTTTTTTTCTGTTCTACTTTACTTCTGTAAATACATTTTGTGAGATATTATTTCATTCTCGGGCTGTCAATTAATTTGTAGAAATACCCAGCCGCCAACAAAAAAACACCCATTTTCGATTTGTCAAAGAAGATATAGTGATATTCGGTATTTTTTCATAGCTGTGAACAATTTATTTGATGAAACGGCATCTTCAACATTTAAAGAAACACCGGGCGATTTATTCCTAGGATATGTTGCTACTTCAGTCAATGGTACTAAGGCAGTGGACACACTTACTGTAAGCAACAATGTTTTATTGTTTTTTTTTTTCGTTCAGTTCATTATTGTGTTTCGTTACTGATTTTTTTTCTTCTCCATACTGCATTGTAGATTGGCAGTTTGACAGCCAAAAATCAACCAATGGGGGTCGCAACCGTTCAAGTAGGCCCTTCGATCAATGCTCCATTTGATGGAACTATGGGTTTTTCAAAGGCTCCATTATCCGAAACTGACAATTCAACCGTAGTTGATCGACTATACGAGCAAGGTCAAATTAAAAAGCGGATGGCCTGCCTTAAGTTGCATACGCAGAATGAAGAAAAGGACAGCGAGATGATAATCGGTGGTTGTGACGTTGAGGCTGATTATTGGCTACCGGTTTTGGGGGAATCTTACTGGGCTGTTACTCTAACGAAAATTATATTACGTTCTCCGACAGACAATACAGAGCTGCTCTCACTCGATGTAAATGTTCAAGCAGTACTGGATACGGGCGATCCAAATAGCTTACGTAATTACAGAAACTAGAAACACATAGGTACCATTTGTGTATGGAAAACTATTTTCTTTTCGTATCATAGATCTGCCAGAACGTTTTGTGAATCCTCTTAATGATAAATTGGGCGGTAGTTGGAATGGAAACCACTATATCGTCGACTGTGACACTCGCAAGAGTTTTCCAAACATGGAACTTTATTTTGGTGAAGCTAAAATCACTTTTACGACTGACGACTATTCGTGGCTATATTTTGTTTGTATATTTTTTTTTTTTTGCAATTTATATCGAACTACCATTTTATAATCATTGTTTTAATGATTCGTGTTTGTTGATAACATATTTTGTTTCAGGATGAATGCCAACTTGCTTTAAAACCAAGAACTTATGATGAAGTTTTGGTCCCTCTTCAATTTTTCTTCAAAGCAACGGTCATTTTGGATTCTGGAAATAATCGAGTGGGCCTCGCAAACATCAAATGAATTGACAACGAAACGGACGACCGGCAATTATCCTCCCTTCAATGACATTTTAAACACTGTTAAAAAATATTTTCAAAGATTTTTGAATATGAAAAACATAAGCAAAATAAAAACTAAAAAAAAACTCGACATTACATACACTACACAATGAAATCGTTTTCTGGATAATTTTTTTTATTGAAATTCATATTGATACTATTGTAATATGGTTTTTGGTTTGAAAATAAATCCACTCACGTCACAAAGCATTTACGAAAACTATAAAATTGGATTGAATTTACGTAAGTTTTGTGAAAAACGGTATTTTTCCGCGTTCACATACATATCTCTCCCTCGGTTCCTTTATTCACCAAGTAAAATGATTAGTATTCACTGAATCGTATTGATTTTATTATTCTTGAATAATAAACACTTCGGTGATTCTGATTTTTATTGTCTTTCTGTGTTATTTGCGAATGGGTGGGTCAAAAAATGTCATAAAATATACGAATTGTAGCACCAATTAAAATGAATAGTGAAAAAATCGAAGTATCTAAAACGGCGACTACAAAATCTGCCTCTATCATCAGGTTTTGTGACCATTAACTTATTACCGTCTGCCAGATTGAAATTGTGATATCACTCTTGATTTGCTTTCGCTCAACTCTTAGAAAGAGAATTTGCACATCTGAGTAAATGCACAGATTGCAATTAAAATATATTTGTTCGTAATATTTATCGCTTAGCTAGAATTAACGACAGTAAAACGTGTAAATGAATTTGAAACTGCATCACTTAAGTTTAGTCGTTACTTGTAGTCGACATGGTCAGATCGAATGCAAGGAGGCAAACATTTCGATTTCTTCGATAGACCACAAGTCGCGTGAAGCAACAAAAGTCTCGTTGAATTACAGAATTGGAATAGCAAAAAATACGATTCAAAGCAGAAGAAACATTATAACTGAAATGGTAAAAAAAATTTGATTGAGTGATTCTGAATCTAGATTTTTTTGTTCTTGATTGTGCCGGCATTGATACTAAGAATTTTAATTAATTAAATCAATCAATAAAATGAAGTTTCTGCTGGCTACAATTTTCCACATTGGGTTTCACTCTGTCAAATCATGCCAATTACTCCTTCATTTAAACGGCTCTTTTGAAATCATAGTAACGTTTAGACTGCGGCTATGATGTTTTTTTTATTGTCATAAACTTTTGAGAGTGTAACAATTCTGAATGATTGAGTTTGAAAAACTCACCCGTCATTTGTTGCATCGATTTTCATGTTTGGCCCAATAAATTCAAATCCTCCAGCGACGTATACTCGAACAGCTCATCGAAACAATGGCCATTCAGTTTTAAAATAGGAGATGACCATGAATGTTGGTACCATTGTATGTATACCAATTTGTACCATTCATGAGTCCACTTTTGATTTGTACTTACACTTCGTGCCAATTGCATTATTACATTTTATACTCGTGTTGCCAACTTATTACCATGGATTAAAAGTAAAATAGGCAAAAATTCACGTATGCACCCAAAGAAGCCAGCCATAGCGACAATTTGGAACAAACTTGTGTCAGAAATTAAAATTTAAAAAACTATTCATTCGGATTGGAAATGATGTACACAAATGGCTAAAATTATTTTTCTTCGTACTTCAGAATTTCATAATTCATTATTTAGTCGGACGAATCGAGTTTATGAAAGACAGTATTTTTGTTGCTTTTGTCAAATCACTGCAACAAGATGTATTCTTTCCGATGGGAAGATACACACACAATTCTATATTTATTCATTAATTTAGAAAAACGATAATAAAGGTTTTGTATCAAACAAAAAAACAGCATTGTTTGGAATTGCCTTTTCTCCTTTGGCTTTGTAGTGGGAAAAAAATCACAGAAACCACCTTTCATAAACGAAAAAACAAATTCACGTCTCGGCTGAAAAAAAGAAGATATTATGAATGTGGACGAGAAAAACCACTTCGGAGTTTATGAATTTGTAAGCGCATTTTTCTTTAATTTTCTAATACAAAAACATTTCCACGATTGGTAAAAAGGCGATAACAGAAATCTAGATGAATGAAGCCGCTATTCGGATTGGGCCGCTTCATTTGCTCTTCTTGTCTTTACGCAATTTCTCACTGGATACTTCGATGGCGTTCAACCTGCAAATATAAAATGATTAAAATTTGAAGTTTTTAGTAGAAAAAAAAAAACGCATCAAAAATCGGTATTTCGATTCAAAGTTTGTATGTTGAGTCGACATGCGTCAACAATTTGACATGAATTCTTAGTTTTTGAGTTGAAAATATTGAATTCATCCAAAGTAGCATAGTTACCATAATTGCAATTCTTGTGGTGGGTCTGGGATTTTCTCACCGCCTTGGAACCCATTCATGAGTTGAACAACATTACAATTTGTGATATTTTGCTTTGACATGGCAATAGCCCGTACGAAACCATCGAAGGTGATGAATTTTTGCTCCAAGTAAATTGCCTTTTCGTCCCACCAAATGAGTTTGGTTTCGATTTTATATGGATTAAAGATAGGAATGGTTTTGCGATAACGCACCGATGAGGCACCCTGAACAGCACCACCTCCATTTTTGCGTACACCTTCATACAATCCTACGGATATTCAAGGAACAAAATATATGAATATTTTTTCTCTCGCCCAGACTCGAATGAAGAATGTAGAATGGCGCTCGAGCGGCCGCCATTATTCGCGCATATTATGCACAATTTAAATTTAACTATATGAAAGTTGTAATCAAATCAAATCAAATCGAAATAAATATTTATCGTGTCCAACTTACCGGTCAACGCATAGAAGTGGAATCGGGCGAAGTCAAGTTCACGCACATATCGTGCATTGTTCATGTGTCTGATGAAAATGTCAACATCCTGTGTTGTACATAAGCCTATTTTTTGCGGAGAAAAAGAAAACGAAAGGGAAATGTGAAAAATATTTCAGAAAAACAGGTCAGAATGGCATGAATAGAAGAGAAAAAAAATCAAAGTGAGCAAATCGTAACGAAACCATTGGTATAAAGAAGAGTGACAAGTGGAGAACGAGGTGTAAATTACCATAAATAGTGGTTGTTTCGTTGATCTTCCGTTTCTGTTGGAATAATCGGCCCAAAGCCACAGTGAACACACATCGAATAAAGTAGTTGAAATCCCAAATGATGTACAAAATAAGCAATAAAATCAGTCCAAAGCCCATTTTTGAAAAGTTTCCCTCAAGGCTATCTCGATAAAATTCTGGAATGGAATGAACGAAAAAGAACAAATTCACCGAATTGAATTAGCATATTTGTGACATATTTGCATTTGCACACAAGCACAAACGAGTTGAATGATAAGATGGCAAAAAGACACTTGAGTGACGGACGGAGGATAGCCAAGCAACGAAAAAAATGTGTGTAGCAAACGAAAGTGTCAACACAAATATGTTTATTCAACAGTTTGGCTACTCGTCTCTCTCTCCTATTTAAATATATGCATTTCTTTGGGTGACCCCTAATAATATTATGCATATCAAACGAATATGAGGAAAAAGCTCGACGCAAAATGACTTGTCAATTGGTGTGTGTGCTTTTTCAACTCTCTTCCTCTTTTTGTAGAAATGCTGAGTAACATAAGCCATAGCCGAAGGAAAAAACCATTCAAAATTAATGAATTTGGTCGTGATTGAACTAAAAATAGCATCAAATCAAGTGATTAACACGCACACATACACAGAGAAACACCGTGAATTGTCTAAAAAAGGGTATGATCAGCAGCCATATTCAAATGACCATCATTAGGTAACACTTTCACTTTCAACGTCAGCTAATGATCGGTTGATTTCGGAATCGAGTAAAAAATGAATTGCTCTTGAATTTCGAGCAATTTGCCGAGTTGCTGACGTTCTATGACAACCGCATCCTTTTTTGTCGTGATAACTGCCGTCAATTGTCGTCTATTGTAATCACAACACATTGAGCTCGAAAGCAAGATTTATTCCATAAAAACGAACGAGAAATTTTTCCATAATTCGTTATGACTAATATTAATGCCATAAAATGACATACCCGAAACAACTAGACAGTAACTAAAATGATTCGGTGAAGAGTATAAAAAATGCTCTTATTGGGGATACTGTGGATAAATTACAAAATTTTCGTCATAAAACCAGATCTCAGCGAGAGAGAAACGGAATCATTTGAAATTCTAGAAACTTTTAGTACAGAACAACAATTTGCAACGTATGTATATATGGGGAAATTAGCTGAAAGCAGACTTACGTGCGGTTAACTTGACGATAAAAGTTGTACTAACAACACGACCATGTCGCCCCAATGAATACCTGTAGTGTGTGTATGCGTGTTTTATAATATTTTTTTTCTTTCTTTCCATCTTCTTCTTTATTACATTTGGTTAATGTTACTTTGGATCGCTTCTTTTTTTCGGCCATGCTATACACTTTCAAAAGGTCTTCGTATTGGTGATTGAGCGGCTCACCTTTCTATTTTGGGCGACTGCATAGTGTACACCAATGCACGATGGACAGCATTTTCGAATTAATTTCCCAAATTTTCAACTTCTTAACCGATTTCGTTATGTAAATGTATTCGTTTCGATTGAACAAACGATCATATTTTGAATGGAATAAATACACATTTGATTTGGATTCCAAAGTATTGGATTGTGTATTGGGGCATTCAAACAGTGTTTCCTGTTTCAATGTATTGATGTCGATGGGCCAACACTATTTATTCAACAGAACGTTGTGTTTTTATTGCAACAAAAGTGCCTTTTGATCAGTCCATGTCATCAAATCAGTGGATGGATTGTGGTATAAATGCGTATATTTGACAATTATTCTCACATTCGTTGCTAATTATGGTTTTTAAGTGAGATTTTATGACTTTCGACATTTTTTTCTCTCGTTAAACCATCAAGAAAGTAGTAAACGATTAAGAAAATGAGATTGATATTGATAATCTCATATTTTCCAAAAAACAAAATTACACTTTCTTCAACCATTGTCGAGTAAACTCTTTTCGATCCATCTATAGTCAAAGTCTCTCGACAAATAAATCTCAAAGTTTTCCCAAAGAATCATATCATATTTGATTGATTGAAGATGAAGCAAAATGGAATCGATTCTGGAAAACTACAAATCCAATAAGAGGAGAAAACAGTCACAAGCCTTTTTTCCGGAGAATCTGCCATTCTTTTGATGAATTCTTTTTTGAATGAAATAGAGAAATATTCAAATTTAACGGATCAAATTAGCATATTGTCACACATTTGCAGTTGATTGAGCTGAAATGCCAAACGATACAAGATTGAGAGAATGAAAGAAGTTTGAGCAAATGCTGGACAAAAGAACGGATATCGGGAGCAGAAAATTAATCGGCAACGCATTGAAAATACCAATGTAAATGAGTTTATTTGACAGTGTGTCACTTTGTGCCTTTCTTTGTATCTTTAAATATCTGCATTTTCATTCCGCTGACTCTCAATTATATTATGCGAATCAAAATCGTCTAGAGAATTGTAAGAACACTTAAAATAACTACGCAATCATTGGCGCTCCAACATATCAGGGCACAATAACATTAAAATCAAAAGCGCCAGATCATAATTGATGTGAATATAGCATCGACTTTGTTGATGCATACAAACAGGCTAATGACCATCATTAGATATTCACTTTTCCTTCTGCAAACTGTTATTAAACACTAAATGGAGCTAGAAAAATGGATTGTCGTTGAAATTTGCACTCCGTCAATTTAAAGTCAAATGTGTTGACATTCTAATCCGCATTCTTCTATTGTTGTTGATTTTAATCGAGTTGTCCCATAATCAAAACGCACATCTCACTCTCGTTGAGCTTTGAAAGAGCAAGTGCGCGCGCGGGATCGCGCACAAGATTTAATCCATAAATGAGTGGAAATTTTTCCATAACTCGTTATGACCACTAATAACGTCATAAAGTGTCATAGCCGAAACAACCAGAAGCAAACTAAACGAAACGATGGTGGAAATTATTTTCGTCATAAAACCGGCTCATTTTTTATTCTGCTGCTTTTTTTGTTTTGATTGACAGAAGTAACGAGTCGTGAGCTTCTCGAAGCTTTTTTCCAGCTTCTGATTCGCAAACAGAACAATAAACTGCAATGCTATGGAAAGAATTGGCTGAAACAAGACTTACGTGCGGTAAACTTGACGTTAAAAGTTGTACTGACAACACGACCGTATCGACTCAACGAATACCTGTAGTGTGTGTGTGTGCGTATATTTTATAACATGTTTTTGTTTCTTTACATCTTCTTCTTTATTACTTTTGGTTAATGTGACTTTGGATCGTTTCTGTTTTGGTCGACCGAAAGACCGAAATAAAATCCATGTTATACACTTTCAAAAGGTGTGCGTGTTGGTGATTGAGCGGTTCACTTTTCCATTTTGGGCAACTACACACCAATGCACGACGACGGACAGTATACTTGTATTAATTTTCAAACATTTTTAACTTTTCAGCCGATTTTTATGATTGTATTCGATGATACGGCCGAGTGTTGAATGAGTGATCATGTTTTGATTCGGGTTTCACAGTATCTGTTCATGTGCTGGTGCTGGTGCTGGTGCTGGTGTTGAAGGGTTTAACATTGTTTTTGTTCACCGTACCTCCAGTACTTTGTAATGACATAAAATTGCTCTTCGACCACTCAATTCCACGGTATACGGCTGTTGATCTGATAAAATCCGCTTCTGAGTGAAGCAATAAACAGATTTTTACAGCATGAAAAAATAAACTAGACAAAAACAACAATTGGGTTTGTTGGTCAAATGCTCAAATACTATAGGTAAATCAAGGACTTTCACCTTCGAACGGTGTTTCAAGATCATATTTTTCAAAACTATGGCAGCAGCACCAATAATGAAGGTTATTTTCAAGCTGCTTTATCATCGCTTTGGCATCAAACAAATTGAAAACCAAATGCAAATCGTCAAACTTGAGAAGAAAAAAAACCCAAATCAACCAAGTCAAAAAATATGAAACGATTCAACTAAATGGAAGAGAAAATATTGATTCAACTAAATTGAAGGGAAAACAGACGCTCTGTAAAGTCCAGAATGTGCATCACGATATAATGGAATTCCGAGTCGAGACATTACAATAATAATAATGAATGCATTTATTTATGTCGCACTCGATTCGCAGCGTCGAGAATAATTCGAAAATTGCAAGCGTATAATTACAATGGCACATGGTGAGGGGGAGATAGAAGCGGCCTTGAAACGAACGCTTTGCGGCTGAACTGATGATTGAAATGGATTTACATATATCTAACATGGTTTTGTTTGGCGAATAATTTGAACCGAATGCAAATTGCGATAAAAATCAAATAGAAATGATTATGATGTGTAAGCGAGCGTGTTGTGTGTGTGTGCGCGCTCGTTGTGGTTTTCGGTTTTTTACATCCTACGACAACAACATCCACGATGACGATGACGATGACAATTTGAACAACTGCCCTGAATAAAGTTGCTCGATTGAGTTTCAAAAGAGATTTAGCGACAAACAGTGAAGTGTAGTGTATATGGTAAATCCAAATGCATACATTTATCTGGAATTTCCATATGCCCTTTGGTGTAACACATTTCCGATGATTCTTCAATTTCTGCAGGTCTTTGATGATGTATGCAACAGCACAAAATGAAAACCCACACATTGCAAGCACATGTGTGTATTTTTTCTTTGCAGCTACCTTCGGCCTTTTGTCGCATACCCATTTACAAATGCTTCCGTTATCATGTGAGTTCCCTTTGAATATGCCATCATCGTTCAAAAATCCCGAAACTGAATATGCCTGCAGACAGCCTGATAACGACGAGTCGAAAGTATGTGAAAAAAGAATGTTTGCTGCGTTCATCATTTTTGCCGCTAAAAAACACTCTATCGGAAATGCATACACACACACCCAGATAGACACATACACAGTTTGTTCTAATTTTCGCTCTCATTTGTTTCGGTTTGTTCGCAAAGAGCAAAGATCGGTCCATTCAGAAGAACGACGTGCAGTACGTTTGATGTTGTCTTCGTTGTTGTCGTCGTCGTTGTCATAACGCACGACACATGTGCGACAGACATTGCCCAGAATGTGAATGAGAGTCTCGTTGCTGTTCGATGTTTTGAACATTTCAATTCCGTTTTGATTCAATTTGATTTTGTTTAACGCACGTTGTTCATTTTGACGTCCACAGAACCAAATCGACAAATAGAGTGTATCGTGCATTGAAGAGTCGATATATCTCTTAAGTAGTAGGAAAATGGGGATTCTGGCCCAAATCTTGCGTCAACCGCATCCCCCTTGCGTCCCCCATGCGATAGCAGTGCGGGCGCGTGCGTCATCCTAAGAGCGAAGTCCATACGTCGTACATCATTCACTCACTCGCTCACTCAATCACACATTCACTCGTTTGCTCGATTGTATACTACAACTCTCTCTCTCTCTCTCTCTCTCTGTCTCTCTCTCTCTCTCTCTCTCTCTCTCTCTCTCTCTCTCTCTGTCACATTAATTTCAACAAATTCGATATAACTAAAATTTTATAAATGATGCAATATGATGCAATAATTAGATCCAATTGCGGTAATTATCTTCATGTACTATGATTAAAAAAAAAACGGTACACATTTGGAATTTTTTCCGAATGTTGTCCAAAAAACATTTGGAATTTGGAACAAAAACGCCACCTTTTCATATGAAACACATTCGGAACATCCGAATACATCCGAATACATTCGTTGAGTTTTGACAGTTGAGCTAATCGACACAATCAATTTGGGATACGTTCGGGCTAAGGTTATGTGTGTGTTTCGTTTTTCGTCTTGCGAATGAAATATAAAATTCAATGAACCAATTGCATTGTACACAAATTAAATAATACGCTGACATTTTATGCATTCCACAGAGAATACGGATTTTCAATCGTAAATATACTGGCAATTTACTTTCTTTGTACGTAGGAAAATAGAATTGAAATACTGGTGATGTTTTGTTTATTACGAATCGTGGCGCTGGTACTTCCAAATTGCCCGATGCTCTGAATTCATTGACGTTTGTTTGTGATCATATTGTCAAAAAGATGTCTTTGTTTTGATAGGAACATATTTATTATTTCGAATCTATTCAATCATTTTATCGAAAAATTAAGTTTTAAAAAAGGTTCAAGCATCTGAAAACAAAACGGCATAAGTGTACGGAAATTATAGAAGTTAATATAAATCAGCAAAATTATTTTGTTATATTGTAAGGTTTTCCTTCTGTTGTTTATAGTTCGAAATGGACGAAAAAAATTATGGCTTCACAAAATCCATACAAATATGGGGCTAAATGTTGGCTTTTTTCCGTTCTTTTTTTCAAATTCTAAATTGATGAAATTTGTCCATTTAATAGTTGAGGAAGAATATCATAGCTGTGCAATTTTTTTTGTACGCTTGTTCATCAATGAGTTTTTCTTCTAAATAGGAGAAAAAACAAATTTTCTTCTTATGATTTTTTTTGTTTTCGTCACTTTTCATTTTGGAATTGTATTGTAGTTTCATTTAATAATTTTTCATTTGGTGGCAACAGAAGAAATAACACGATCGTTTGTTTTGATTGATCCAACGTATGAATTTGGATGGTATTTTTTTGATGTGGTGTGTCATTCAATTGTTTCAGAAATATTTGTCAAAATTACGATTGTAAAAAGTTATAGTTTAATGCAGTTAATGTTGTGATGATATTTGTGCTTTGTGTTTTGAAATATTTGAAAAAGGTTGTCATACAGCGCCGTCTATTGAATATAGACGAAATCTTTCTTTTTATTTTACTACAACTTCATTCGGACATGTCATTTTATTCGAATGTAATGACATTTAAACAATGTACAAACACTCATTGCCATCCAATAAGATTTATTATATTATTGAGAAACTTTTTTCTCATTTGGTTTTTTTTATGGAAAATTGTTTTATTTGTATCGAAGATAAACCATCAGTTTCGTTTATCGCGTGTGGCACTTGTCGACAATCCATGTGTTTTTTTTGCATTGCAAGTTCTTACTTAGCCAAATTACAGGTTAATACTAACAGTGAATACGAGTGTGTGTTTTGCAGAACTTCTATAGACTATGAAACTTATAAAGAACGAGAAGATGAAGTAATTTCTTTTTTGGAAATTGTTAGTTTAGAGTCGTATCCGTTTGACGACAACCCTTGCGAAAAAGAAATTACAAAAATTTGGGAAAAAAGTAGAGAAATTGAAGATTTAATACGTACTTAACCCTAGGGAAATTTAACTCTTACGAGTTCAGCATGTTTTCTGCCAGTTTGCTTGATTCGCGGAAGTTCGACGCGTTCGTTGTACGTACTGACGCGCACGGTCACAAGTTTACACAAGTTTGTTTATGGTTTTGCGCGTTTTTCAAGTTGTTATTTGACAACTAAAACGCGTTTCAAACTAAAAATCGGTTGTTTACGAGTATAAAGATTTTTCACATCCTTTCCAAAAGTTCAAAGATTTATATAATTATAAAATGGACAAAGGAAATATTTTTAAAGAGCTGGAGAAAGTGTTGAAGAAAAAGTTAATCCAGATATAATAAATGGAACGACTGATGTGTGCGCGTCGTCCAGCTACAAGTTTGCACACGAACTCGCGCGCGTTCGCGCATGTTGTTTTAATACGGAACTTGTCAACTGAGTGGAATCATGCAAGTTCTCTGGTGAATGTAACAATTTCGTGCGCGTTTATATCATTTTTTTACAAGTTTTCACGTAGTTAAATCCCCCTAGACTTAACCTCGCATTTAACGCCACCAAGTTCATTTTTGTTCTACTAAATAGACGTCTAAGGAAAAAAAACTTCGTCACAAAGTTAAAACAAAGCAATTGAAATAATTTTTTATTGAAAAATCACGGTATATTTTTTTCAATTTCTATTCAATTTATTCACACAATTAACACAAGTTTGCGTTTTGTTCATAGAAAAGCACTTGCAGTTCTCTCATCAAAATGGAACAGGAAAACAATAACAATTATGATGAAATACTTGACCAAGTAGAGTTATTAAAACTCCGTCAAGGGATTGTTTTTGAATTCATTTTGGGCCGGTTAAAGGATGAATCAATCCGAAACGAACTTTCAACTGGATCGAATGGCAACTGTAAACTTGAAGAAAATGATTTCCATCTCTTGGATTCGTTGTAAGAAAATCATTTTGACAAAAACTGCTTTTTCACGTGAAACAAATGTAAGAACACACTTTAAATTTTATAAATTCTTCATTTTCCAGTTACGCCAAGTCTATCCCGGAACACGGTCGACCTTGGGTAAAAAGTAAAAGAGAAGTGATGATGTCATTACTTGTCGATGGCTCGCCAGAAATATTCGACGGAAATTTCACCTATGGCGACATGAAAACTGTCCTGGAAAAAATTCAAAAATCGCCACTATTCGAAGACCTAGATTCAGTGCTTCAGCCAAGTTTGTATTCATTTAATGCCTCACTGCGATTTTTATTAGCAGATTATTTTGGTTGATTCGAAATGATTTCTTTTTCTTTTATTCAATCGAACAGAATATCAAGGAATTCCAGCCAAGGTTGCTGAACGCATCAGATTAAGGTCCATTCCGAAAATTCCCTTGCCAACCGTATCAGCAACTGACACCAGTCAGACCGTATCAGCCAATAATGATTGGCTTCATGAGCCAATGTTGCCGGATGGAACGCCCAAGCCTGCCTTCCGTGAAGCTATGAGGAAGATGAATAAAGAAGCTGATGAAAGGATCAAAAGGAATAATCCCAAAAAACGTACTCTCGAAGAACGTTTTGAATCAATGGTTGAACGTAGAATCGAGCGGTTTTTTATGCGAAATGCCGAAGAAAAACGATTGGCAAAAAAGCAAAAGTTTGAATAGAAAACGTGGTTTATAAGCGATATTCAAATAAAACCACATCATCATAACATTAATACTACGTACGCACTTAAACAAAAATAAAAAAAACAGAGAAAATTTCATGAGTATGATTAAGAAAATTCATTCGTTTCGTTAAAAAAAATCGCGAGCAAAATCGATGTTAATTATTTTCTGAGAACAAAACATTACGCGAGAGGCTTTTTTATATCACGATTTTACACGAATATTTATTTTTTCTTCTTTCTATCAATTTTTTTGGTGGAAAATCGTTATAATTTGTATCGAGAACATAAGGAAGAGATATACATTTGGGAGCAAAAGAGAAATAAAAAATTATTTGAGAGTAAATGTGAGAATTGGTTTTTATCCCGCGTTGGATACTTCCGCCCAAATGTCTGATAGTAATTTTTTGACGTAATCAAGAATACATTTTGTTTAACGTTCATTCGTGTTGATTTGATTCTATTGTTGGTGGGCGGTTTTATTCAAGGCTTTCTTGTTTTGCCATAGTACCTTGTAGCAAGCATTTGTAGAACCAATGATTTCGTAGCGAATCTTTTGTTAATTAATCAATTTGGCTCACATCTAAGCGGTTTCGTTTTACAGATGAATGTTGTTAAATCACCATTGAAGGGGTTTTTTGGGTGAGTCATTTGCGTTTTGTTCATTGCACAAAGATCATTGTGCAATGAGTATTGAGCGGACTAAAACTGAAGTGATAAAAAATCGCGTGAAAATATCGCACGATAGCAGCTGCTAGGCTAGGGTGTTACTAAAATCATATTTTTTGTACACATTAATTAGAAGAATAAAAAAACAGATGTTTACGAAGAGTTGTTAGTTAAATTTAATTATTATTTAATTTAATTTTTTAATATATTTCATGTTGAAATGTTTGATAAAAAAAAATACAAACTGTATATCAAAGTTTTTACATTGAATAATATGAATAGAAAAAAAAAGATTTGAATTATACTTTTCGTCATTATAAAAAAGATTATTTTCATTTTTCAATCGATTTGTATGTTTAAAATATAAGTAAGTTATTTTGAGAGAGAATTTTTATGTCAAATTGAATGAAATCGTTTGATTAAATGCATAGATTTGCTTAAAACTTCACTTGAAAATATATTTACTAAATTTTCAACTGGATATTCAAATAGCAATGTACAAAAAATTAAGAAACATATGAACAAACCATTAAAATTGTAAGTTTTATGTATACGTATATTTTTATTACATGACATTGAACAAACAATCTTATGGATTTTCAAATGAAATTTATTTAAATTCCGAAGAAAAAGTTTTTATCTGATTACATTTCGTTTTTAATTATCAGCAATCAAAACTAGGTGAACTTGAACGAATTTATTGAACTCATACGTTGCTGTCGCAATAGCGAACGCGTGTGTTCCTTACAAATCATATACTCTTGAATCGATTTTAGCTGTGCAACTGAGTGGATAGATAGATGAATGGGCGGAAGAATGAATATAAAAAAGAATAGAAAAGAATGTATATGATTGTTTGTTTATGTTTGATTTGATGTTAAACTTAATGAAAATAGTTCGATTTCATGAAAATAATACGATTTTAGGTTCGATTACATGCAAATGGTTCGATTACATGCAAATGGTTCGATTTCATGAAAATAATTTGATTTTTTTGGGTCGAATTCATGCAAATAGTTCGATTTGAGGCTCGATTATATTTAAATATCAAACATCTAGTGATACGAGTTAATACAAGTTGAACATTCAAGCAGTAAAGTTATCTTTATAGCTACATCATGCGTTTGAATGCAATGCAAAAGGATGAAATTTTAGCTAAATTGAACAGTGGAGTGACTAGCTATATTTTAAGCTGTTAAATGTATGTATCATTTTATTGTATTTTTAATTGGATTATTATTGAAAGATGGAAAAAAAGAAAATTAACAAACGAAAAAAAAAACGAATTGCTTGAAGTGTTAACTTATTAGTTTGAGTGTTGCAATTGCATTGTTTGTTTCAATATAAATATAGTACAATAAGCTATCATCAGAACATAAACATAAAACATTTTCTTTTCATCAAAAATATAAAAGTTTTACATATTATCAGTGGCATATCATAGTGCAAAAGCTATGAACCAAGTTCATCGAACACAGTTCAAGATCACAAAATAGGTTGGTTTCTGTTCACTTACATAGCTAATTATATGAAAAAGAGGCAGAGAAAAAATCAACGACATGCACAGACATGATTTTAACATATCACTTTTGCTTCATTTATGAGAATGGTTTTTTATTTCACAGTCGATCACACACATATGACTTTAAAAAAAATACAATTGCCTTTTTTATTGCACAATTTCATTCTTTATTACGCAATGTAGTTTGGTGTACATCTACCATATAACAATAAGTTAGGTGGACAACATTTTTCACCTCATTTCAGCGGTTTGTCTTATTCGTTGCAAAGAGAAGGTAAAGGAAGAGAGAATAAAAAAATATACATAAAAAGTATTAAAATTACGTTTCTAATTATACTCGTACATTTGCTCTATGTTTCACCACTGAAAATAGTTCGATTTGAGGTTCGATTTCATGCAAATAGTTCGATTTGAGGTTCGATTTCATGCAAATAGTTCGATTTTAGGTTCGATTTCATGAAAATAGTTCGATTTGAGGTTCGATTTTATTTAAATAACAAACATCTAGTGATACAACTTAGTTCAAGTTGAACATTCAAGCAGTAAAGTTATCTTTAGAGCTACATCATGCGTTTGAATACAGTGCAAAAGGCTGAAATTTTAGCTAAATTGAATGATGGTGTGAATGGTAATCGTTTAGCAAAAGAATATGGCGTTGCTAAATCTACGATTTCATTATTAAAAAAACGTAAATATGATGAAATGCTGCAGCCCAGCAAAAGATGTGGAACTTTTAATCAACCATCGAGTGCGAGCGTGAGTGATAATGAATCAAATCGATCAAACAATACATCTAATGAGGACGAAGTTGATGATGAAGTCGATGATAATTTTGATAGTGATGAGAGAGTTGAGAAAAAATCGCATACCTTGCCAATTTTCCGTCAACTCAAACTGTATAAACCATCGACTGAAATGGATGAGAATGAACATGATGATTATGATACTAATGACGAATATGATGATGATGAGGAGGAGGAAGACGAGAGCGAGGAAGATGAAGAAGATGTCAATGAAATATGTAGAAAATTGCGGCGTGTATGCGACAATTTGTATGTTCCGACTCAATCATTGAGTGAAATGTTGAAATTAATTTCTAAATTACGGAGCGGTGGCTACATTGAGGAATCGTTATAAGAATAAAGTATATATTGAAAATTGTAACATACCATGAAAACAGATAAATAAAACAAACACGGTATTTTTTTGACAAAAAACAAATCTTTTTATTTCATATCTATGTGTGTATTTTATAATATACACTGCCGAAAGTTTGAGACCAACACGCAATTTTCATACAAAATACTGTTTTTCACATCGAAAAAAGTCCACTAAGAAATCATTTTCGGGCATATACGTCTTCAGAAGGGTTTTAGTTTATTGTCTGATCTTCAATTCTTCTTCAGACTAAAACGCTCTAAAGTTATTCATTAAAAACTTATTAGGTATCGAACATCGACAAAATAATTTTCATATAAAAATCATGTTGTGTGTTGGTCTCAAACTTACTGGCGGCAGTGTATGTATAAAGCAATCATATGAAAGTTCGATTTGGAACCAGTTTTCCTTCGAATTATACAGAAATTTTCATAAATTTACATAAAAGTGAAAACTGTTCTATGAAAATCAATGAAAACTGTCTCATTTTTGTATCTTATTTACTATTTTTACTTAAAATTATATGAAAATTTACGTTTCACCTAACAATAATTTTTCTCAATTTCACTAATTTCATGATGACCCCAAGCTAGCGTATCAATACCATTCGAACGAATAAGGTAACGCTTATCGTCGAACGGATTTAAGGCAACTTTTTTCTGTTTAATTGTGAATATTTGATGTGATTTCGAATGAAGTTTATGCTGTTCACGTAAAATATTACAATTTTTCTCGATACAGTCAACATAATCGCTAAATGCAATATTACGTTTCACTATATTCTTTTTGACACCTTTAGACTTTTTAATAACTTTAGATTTTTTATCGATGTTACAATTCTCTTCGATGCAGTCAACATATTCACTATCTGTTATAACGCGAGGTGTGACAGCTCTTTCTGGACACTCACATTTTTTCATTTTAGCTGTAAACGGTAGTACAGCGTAGCATTTTGCACGTAGACCGACAAATTCTGCTAAAATCTCTCCGTTTAATTCATCTTTGAAAAGACCGGGCACTTTTTTATTTCTTCGAGGCATTTTGAAAACATTCTTCTCCGGATAATCGCTTGTATCGTAGCGATTCAAGTGTTGCTTCATATCATTGTAGAAATCATCCGTTTGAATGGAAAGTATGAAAGAGTCGGTGTCTGTATAGGCAACCGTACAATTTTTTCCATATTTAGGTTTCAAAAAGTCGTACAGAAAACTGTACATCGTTATTTTCGATATGTCTAAGATGGACATACCGATAATTATTGGTTTATTCATTTTAATATGAGTTTTTTGTAGCTCAATTACTGCTAAATCTTCATTGAGTATTTTGCATTTCTTAAAATTTGGTCGAGCAATTAACATGCCTGCACCACATCGCCCACCCCACTTGTTGACAAGTTTGATATCTGCACGCAAACGCAGATTCTCCATCGTTTTACCAAAAACGGAGTTTATCATATATTTAAAAAACGACTTTTCAAAGTCGTTGGTTGCTCGCGTACGTAGCTCTGTGTTAATATCGACGTAGGGTTTTAGCCAGCAACTTTGTTTGAATTGAAGTACTCGATGTACTTTTTTCAATACTAGGCCGTGTTGTAATGCTAATTTGAGCATGCGATAATGAATGATATAATTTTCTTTATCATATAGCGTTAACAATAATTTATCGATTTTATTCGGTTTTATACCGATGATATTGAACACTTCTTGCGGAAGCGTTCGCTTTTCAGCACAAAATGGAAAATCATTATGTGTAGCATGTAAATTTTTTGGATATTGCAGATCCACCTCGAATATATAGCCATATTTCGAATCGTCAGCTAATTTAGCTATTTTATCTGCATTCGAAAAAGCTGTCTTTACAATGTTGTCATCAATCCATTTGAAATCTCTCAGCGGTAATGGTTGCGACATTGCGTGTCCATACAAATTATTTGCTATCAATGTAGATGAAAAAAAAAAAACAAAATTAGATTCTAAAATATCATGAAATTGATTAAAGATAGACTGCACGAGTGGATTATTGAACGAAATTTACCATCTAAATACATTAAATAATTTGACGGTTTCTCATCATTGTATACATCTCTCATGTATTTATTGTTGGCTTTGACTTGACGTTTACTGCACTGACTTATGCCACCGCGAATTCCACGTTCGATGAACAGCAACATTTCCACATCAGATAATAGTTCAATTCTCACTCCGGTATATTTGAGCATGGCATCCCACGAAAGACCTGGAGCTGTGTAGTAGTTTGCCGGATCCAAACTGTAAATTGTATGGCATATATTTCGAAAATTTTCAAATACGTCGGCTAACAGTAGTACATCTGTCTTTAGATATAGTTCAGAATAGTCTCCGAGCGTTTTACAATTGAATTTCCGCCAGATATCGTGAGCAAATTGGTAATCGCCATCCGAAATTCCTTCTCCGCTAAGTTTGCTGTAAAAATCTGCTTTTAATGGTAGATTTGTCTCCTTCAGCTGCTCCATACCGCTCACATATTCATAAGGAAAAACGCCTTTACGTTCAAGCATAACGATTTGTTCTGGTGTGTAGCCATTTTTCTCACATTCATTATACAATATTTGTTTTTTATCTGCTGGCAGTAGTGATGCTAATTCAGCTAGAGATGCAGGCATGAATCGACATGAATCAATGAATTTAAATTTTACGTTTTCTCTCGTATTTAGCCCTCGTGTGCTCCCTGTCACTACTTTCGTGAAAGCTATGTATTGTTCCACATTAGCTGGAATAATTGAAACATCTCCATTTATAATATTATTTGCTGCCAACTCCTTTATGAATAAATGTGAGTCGTACCCCGACAAATTGTGCATAATAACCGGTACAACGTGGCTATCTTGGAACTGTAAGTTGCATGCTTGATGGGCTGGTCCTCTATATCGGCCGGTGAGATGACAGTGATCGTGTACTCTAATATCATTTGTTCCAAAAATATCACCACAAATTGTACATAATGCATATGGATTCTGAAATGTCTGTCTCTCGTCTTCAGTTAACGGTAGTATTGGTGTGTTTTTATCAAATAACCTTGCAACTCCATGAGAAATTTCCTTCAATTCTGTGATGAACCATTCAACGCTATTGGTACGATTGCCGCTGCTTCGGTAATATGAAAATGAATCGTCAAATTCACATTTAAAGTAATACCCAACGCTGTACATATGATGCTGTTGATATGCGGTAGTTGCACATTCCTCACTAAATACACGTTTCTGATCTTCAATACTGAGCCCCTTCAGATACGCTTCAGTATCAGCGTAAACGACAAATGGTGTTTTCAGCTGATGTTTATAGTTATCAAATTTCATCCATTTCCATGTTTGATCGGGCATTTCAATGCTACACTCGTTTGTACATTTTGCAGTATGTTTCAATAATTTTTCATTTGTATCATAAAATATTAGACATCGATCGCAAATGTAATTTCGAGATTTATGTTTACTCAGCTGACTTCTGACAAGACGGCTTAAATTTTTTATCCAACAATAATGAGTACGAATTGAATCATTATCGCAGATCTTCTTAATCATGTTGGAAGTGCTAGCTGTTTTAACATTTCTTTCCTCAGTTTTATTAACACTTTCTCCATCTTTGATTAGCAGCAAATGGATGTGATGCTGTTTAACTTCATTACTCACACGTAATGGGCATATACGGCCCTCATTGTCATCATCGTAATAGTATACATTTATCGATATATTGCCATTTTGTCGAACAAATTTATCGATTTGATTCAAGCGAACGGGAAAATCGATTCCATCAAAATTCAATTCGTTCTCATATTGATAATAATGACGAATTCGATCTGGATTATTTGTAACTGGGTGTAAAGCAGACAAAATAGCCCATTTGAAACACATTTCATCATGTTGATTTTGTACATTAATAACTGCATGTTTATATCGTAGCTTTTTAGGAGTTTCAATATACGATGAACCGTGTAATGGGTTATATAAGTTGACGTGAACATTCAACTCGATTATGCGGGCGAGCGTAAATCCAGAACCGCGGAATGTAACTTGTTCTGCACTTTCCACTATTTCTTGAACGATTTGTTTTCGAAAATGTTCATGTAGGTCTACGTTCAAATCAAGCTTCCGTGTTTGCGTTGGGAGATATATAGTCTCTTTCTCCGTTAACTCATGACTATGATTACCGCCAGTATCATCATCATCGTAAGAATCATTATTTTCATCTGGGTTTACAATTTTTTTTTCAAACTCTGCTACGAATACAGTCATTGACTTCACGTTAATAAAATTTTCAATATTTTTCGTAACTTCCGAGCGATATATATGAAAGGCATCGCTTAGAAATATTTCAATATCAATATGTCCATTGTTTACAATAGCGAAGGTGTTAATTCGTCTATTAAATGCATTTTCACGCACTTGTAGCTCAACACTAGGGACATCTTCAATTGTATTAGAGGACGGTAACATCATTGTTACTCACATCGATATTTAACGTTTTTTTCACAGGCGTAATTCTATTTTGGTATATCAATATGAACCGTTCCTTTCGGAACGCACCGAACAAAAATTACAATTCGATTGATCTAGTTGTATCATCAGATGTTTGACATTTAATTACAATGAAACCTCAAATCGAGCGTATTTTCAGGAAATCGAACCTCAAATCGAACTATTTTCATGAAATTGAACCTAAAATCGAATTATTTTCATGAACAAAACAAAAATCGAAATATTAACATGAAATCGAACTATTTGCATTAAATTGAATATCAAATCGAACACTCTTACATAAAATAATACGAATTATTGATGAAAATAAAAATGTAAACAGACGCAATGGTAGCAAAAAAGCATAGTGTAAAATGCAACAACAATAACATGAACAAACGTTCACTATCGCGACAGCAACGTATGCGTTCAATGAACTCGTTCAAGGTTAAAAAATACAATTAGTCATGCAATTGCAGCGATGCCATTCATGCTATTTCATTATGTGATGAAATATAGAGCAAATGTATGAGAGGAATTCGTGAATCGAAGAAACAAGTATATGCATGTGAGAGAGAGTGAGAGAAAAAAACTAGAAGAAACAAGTGTATGCGTGTGTGTGTAGCGTAAACTATAGCGATGGTATATGATTATTTGCATTGCTTCAGTTGTTGTTGTTCATAATTAATAAATTGTTATGCATTTATATGGATTTGAGTGAGATTAAAAGAGAAAATGATGTGGAAATCACCAACCATAATAAAAATAGAGAAATAACAACCACAAAGTAATAGGCAAAGCAATTGTATCAATAGAATAAGAAACGAATCAATTTATATTGTGTAAATTTCGTCGTGATCGTCGTCGAATTTTGTATTAGTCGGTGTATCTAATTCACAAACTGCTGATTCAAACGACCCGGATGGCTCAACTTCCTCATCAGCAGCAACATGCGACGGCATTCCGAAACAATTTTCTCTCACTGAAAAAGCAAAACAACACTGCAAAAAAAAAAATGCACAAATTTTTCTTATTTCATACTCACAAATTGCACTGAAGAAAAAGTGAAGCTAGCTGAATAAAATACTTTCAACGAATGATCGAACGAAATCACGATTGCTTCGTTTGAAAGGTGAACATTTTTTGATTGAAATTCCATAGCCATAGATTTATATTTCACATGACTACTGTGGAGAAATGATTAACAACTGTTTCGTTTGAATGTTAAACATTAACTGGTTTTTAATTTTCTTTCTTACTATCTACGCAGTTTTCGTATAAGTTTGTGAGTTGATGAATTTATTGGACTTTACTTGATTTTGCTAATATTGCAATTAACTGAAAAATATGTTTGCTGATACCTTGCATTAAATGTTATTGAACTTTCTATATCTAACTGAAATTACTTTGTGTTGCACATTTTTCGAAGTTGTACTTTGAACGTTACTGAGCGTGAGCGAGAGAGAGGTGTGTGTGTGTGTGTGTGTGTGTATGTACATACTAGTAGTATGTAAATGCCGGTTTCATCCACGTTTTTCAGTATTAGTGCACACACATACACATATACACACACACACACATGGTGTTAATTTATTTAATTGATGTATGAGTGAGTGTATTGATTGACAATATGAAAAACATTGACTGACATGATAATTTTTTGAAATGATTTTTCCATGATAATCAAAACTAAATCAATCCGATCGAATACTTAGATCAAAAAACAACACATAAAACTGAATTTTGAAATCGTTATTTTCTTTTTATTTTTTTTAAATAAAACTATGAAAATAAGGAACAGATTTTTTTTTTAAATTCAAGTTTGAATGCAAAAGTTTGTGAATGATAATAAGATGCGAGTAAAAAACAAATATACAGTGCATTTTCTCTCTTTCACACACACATACACATACATTCATTCATTCATTTAATTAATTTTATCACATTGCTATCAATACAGCTCATGTAAATCGATTTATCTATTTTTTTTATATTCAGTATGCAATTTGTATCACAATTCTTTTTTCTGTTCTTTTGATACACATGTGTGTATGTGTGTAAGTGATAAACACTTATGGCACATTTGAGGCTCAATTTCATAAAATAGTTCGACTGAAGGATCGATTTCATGAAAATAGTTCGATTTGAGGTTCAATTTTAAGAAAAAATGGTTCGATTTGACGTTCGATTTGAGAAAAAAAGGTTCAATTTCAAGGAAATAGTTCGATTTGAGGTTCAATTACATTTAAATAACAAACATCTTGTGATACAAGTTAGTTCAAGTTGAACATCCAAACAGAGAAGTTATCTTTATTGCCACATCATGCGGTTGATATCATATTTGATTGATTGAAGATGAAGCAAAATGGAATCGATTCTGGAAAACTACAAATCCAATAAGAGGAGAAAACAGTCACAAGCCTTTTTTCCGGAGAATCTTCCATTCTTTTGATGAATTCTTTTTTGAATGAAATAGAGAAATATTCAAATTTAACGGATCAAATTAGCATATTGTCACACATTTGCAGTTGATTGAGCTGAAATGCCAAACGATACAAGATTGAGAGAATGAAAGAAGTTTGAGCAAATGCTGGACAGAAGAACGGATATCGGGAGCAGAAAATTAATCGGCAACGCATTGAAAATACCAATGTAAATGAGTTTATTTGACAGTGTGTCACTTTGTGCCTTTCTTTGTATCTTTAAATATCTGCATTTTCATTCCGCTGACTCTCAATTATATTATGCGAATCAAAATCGTCTAGAGAATTGTAAGAACACTTAAAATAACTACGCAATCATTGGCGCTCAAACATATCAGGGCACAATAACATTAAAATCAAAAGCGCCAGATCATAATTGATGTGAATATAGCATCGACTTTGTTGATGCATACAAACAGGCTAATGACCATCATTAGATATTCACTTTTCCTTCTGCAAACTGTTATTAAACACTAAATGGAGCTAGAAAAATGGATTGTCGTTGAAATTTGCACTCCGTCAATTTAAAGTCAAATGTGTTGACATTCTAATCCGCATTCTTCTATTGTTGATTTTAATCGAGTTGTCCCATAATCAAAACGCACATCTCACTCTCGTTGAGCTTTGAAAGAGCAAGTGCGCGCGCGGGATCGCGCACAAGATTTAATCCATAAATGAGTGGAAATTTTTTCCATAACTCGTTATGACCACTAATAACGTCATAAAGTGTCATAGCCGAAACAACCAGAAGCAAACTAAACGAAACGATGGTGGAAATTATTTTCGTCATAAAACCAGCTCGTTTTTTATTTTGCTGCTTTTTTTGTTTTGATTGACAGAAGTAACGAGTCGTGAGCTTCTCGAAGCTTTTTTCCAGCTTCTGATTCGCAAACAGAACAATAAACTGCAATGCTATGGAAAGAATTGGCTGAAACAAGACTTACGTGCGGTAAACTTGACGTTAAAAGTTGTACTGACAACACGACCGTATCGACTCAACGAATACCTGTAGTGTGTGTGTGTGCGTATATTTTATAACATGTTTTTGTTTCTTTACATCTTCTTCTTTATTACTTTTGGTTAATGTGACTTTGGATCGTTTCTGTTTTGGTCGACCGAAAGACCGAAATAAAATCCATGTTATACACTTTCAAAAGGTGTGCGTATTGGTAATTGAGCGGTTCACCTTTCCATTTTGGGCAACTGCACACCAATGCACGACGACGAACAGTATATTCGTATTAATTTTGAAACATTTTTAACTTTTCAGCCGATTTTTATGATTGTATTCGATGATACGGCCGAGTGTTGAATGAGTGATCATGTTTTGATTCGGGTTTCACAGTATCTGTTCATGTGCTGGTGTTGGTGCTGGTGTTGCCGTTGAAGGGCTTAACATTGTTTTTGTTAACCGTACCTCCAGTACTTTGTAATGACATAAAATTGCTCTTCGACCACTCAATTCCACGGTATACGCTGTTGATCTGATAAAATCCGCTTCTGAGTGAAGCAATAAACTAATTTTTACAGTATGAAAAAATAAACTAGACAAAAACAACAATTGGGTTTGTTGGTCAAATGCTCAAATATAGGTAAATCAAAGACTTTCACCTTCGAACGGTGTTTCAAGATCATTTTTTCAAAACTATGGCAGCAGCACCAATAATGAAGGTTATTTTCAAGCTGCTTTATAATCTTCATCGCTTTGGCATCAAACAAACTGAAAACCAAATGCAAATCGTCAAACTTGAGAAGAAAAACAACCCAATTCAACCAAGTCAAAAAATATGAAACGATTCAACTAAATGGAAGAAAAAATATTGATTCAACTAAATTGAAGGGAAAACAGACGCTCTGTAAAGTCCAGAATGTGCATCACGATATAATGGAATTCCGAGTCGAGACATTACAATAATAATAATGAATGCATTTATTTATGTCGCACTCAATTCGCAGCGTCGAGAATAATTCGAAAATTGCAAGCGTATAATTACAATGGCACATGGTGAGGGGGAGATAGAAGCGGCCTTGAAAAGAACGCTTTGCGGCTGAACTGATGATTGAAATGAATTTACATATATCTAACATGGTTTTGTTTGGCGAATAATTTGAACCGAATGCAAATTGCGATAAAAATCAAATAGAAATGATTATGATGTGTAAGCGAGCGTGCTGTGTGTGTGCGCGGTCGTTGTGGTTTTTGGTTTTTTTACATCCTACGACAACAACATCCACGATGACGATGACAATTTGAACAACTGCCCTGAATAAAGTTGCTCGATTGAGTTTCAAAAGAGATTTAGCGATAAACAGTGACGTGTAGTGTATATGGTAAATCCAAATGCATACATTTATCTGGAATTTCCATATGCCCTTTGGTGTAACACATTTCCGATGATTCTTCAATTTCTGCAGGTCTTTCATGATGTATGCAACAGCACAAAATGAAAACCCACACATTGCAAGCACATGTGTGTATTTTTTCTTTGCAGCTACCTTCGGCCTTTTGTCGCATACCCATTTACAAATGCTTCCGTTATCATGTGAGCTTCCTTTGAATATGCCATCATCGTTCAAAAATCCCGAAACCGAATATGCCTGTAGATCAGATAGCCTGATAACGACGAGTCGAAAGTATTTAAAAAAAGAATGTTTGCTGCGTTCATCATTTTTGCCGCTAAAAAAAACACTCTATCGGAAATGCATACACACACACCCAGATAGACACATACACAGTTTGTTCTAATTTTCGCTCTCATTTGTTTCGGTTTGTTCGCAAAGAGCAAAGATCGGTCCATTCAGAAGAACGACGTGCAGTACGTTTGATGTTGTCTTCGTTGTTGTCGTCGTCGTCGTCGTCGTCGTCGTTGTCATAACGCACGACACATGTGCGACAGACATTGCCCAGAATGTGAATGAGAGTCTCGTTGCTGTTCGATGTTTTGAACATTTCAATTCCGTTTTGATTCAATTTGATTTTGTTTAACGCACGTTGTGCATTTTGACGTCCACAGAACCAAATCGACAAATAGAGTGTATCGTGCATTGAAGAGTCGATAGCTCAGTCATATAGTTAAGTCATCATTTTATCTCATTCACTTTGAAGCGTCTGATAAGATACACTAGCAAATTTTCGCCTAATCATCAATTTCTTGGGAAATCAAGTGTTTCGCTCCTCTTTTGATATTATCATCGTTTTGACCCCGTGACTCACGTTTCAAAATAATTGCATTGATTCGTGTGGGCTTTTTGCACGTCAATCGGCTTCGATCATACCAAATGAATTGCTTGAGTTTTGTTCCGAGTATGTCATATGTATATTGCATACGTGTGTGATGATGCACACAAGACGACTGTTAATGTGTACACTTTTTTTGTGTGCTCTCGCAACATTTTAAAGTGTTGTGTTGTAAAGAAGCTAACGACAAAGAAGGAGCACTGAAAACAAAGTATCAAGATACATTTGGGAGCACGTGAAAGTCATAATTCTTTCTCTCTTTCTCTATTCGGCTCTCTCTCCCGATGCTCCGGCGTTTTCTCATTGTTGTTGTTGCTGCTGCTGCTGTTATGGGCACATAGCACACGGAGAGCCAGAGCAAATGGGCGAGCAAGAGAGCGAGAGAGAGAGAGGGAGAGAGAGAGAGAGAGAGAAAGCCGAGTGACGGCTGAAAAACCGCCAAACGTGTTTATATGAACGTGATGATTCAGCTCTCCCAAGACGAGTTTCTCTCTTGCTCTTTTGACTTGTCAATGTGCCCAACACACACTGGAGCATTCAGATCCATTCAACAGCCAGTTGAATAGAGTGGGCCGAAATCATGCTTTCAGCTATGACTTATTCATTCAACTATTTTGTTACTCATTGTAAAAACGGCTGAAAATTTTACAATAAACCGCATTCGATATCTTTTTCCTTTATCTTGAACTCGTAATCATTGGAATATTCTAGGGTTCTTGCTGTTAAGATTTAAAAAAAAAAAATTAAAAAATGCCAAAAATTAAATTAAAATATTTGGCTCTGAAAAATGTTAATATTTCAGTTAAAAATGTCGAAACCAATGCCAATATTTTTCGCGATGAAATTGTTTTCTCCTCACCAAATGAACCAATTTTTTTTTAATTCTTGAATCATTCCCTGCGAAATTTCTATTTTTACAGCATTTTTTTTTGTCCAAAATTCCAAACAGTTCATATCACACACACAATTACCACATACCAAGCTGATAAACGATTGCTGATAGCTTCGTACTCAAGTACTCGCTCCTACACATCGCTTATTCTCTTTCTCTCACAATCTTCTTCGGTGCGAGTGGAAAGAAAATGTTGGAAGAGAGCGCGCCACTCTATCCGAACACTTGTTCATTCTAGTTTCGGTTGTATCGTGCATCGTACGGTTTCCGAAACGACGTTACAGAGACGTTTGAATCAGTATTGAAACAGCCGTTCGCACGCCCAGTTCACTTCGCTGTTCGTTTCCCGTCGTTATAGTCGTCGGTGTGGTGCAGTGTGTCGCGCGTGTGTTTACATTCACTTCGACTATACGTAATTTTTGTTTGCTATGATTTGAGCATAGAAAATTAATGAAATAAAAAGAATTGCAATAGTTTTGTTTTGGATATTCGTAAATTTTATTTTGCGTGACTGACGGTTTTTCCGATTGTTTTGATTGAACGTGTCAGTTTTTGAATGTATATTTTTCGGTTGTAATTTTTTGTTGTTGTTGAAAATAGAAAAAAAAGTTCTTAGTGAAACTGGAAAACATTTATCATTTGAACGGGTGATTCATTGTTTTTATTTTCAAACGCCGGACACATTCCGTCAAGAAAAAAATATCAAGAGTGATCGAAATTCCTGTGTAAAAGCCAGGCAAATTGTTTTCATATTGAGTCATTTTCGTTCGAAGATCAACGAAAAACAAAAAATTCGTAAATAAAAAATAAATAAATAAATAAAATTGTGTATAAACTCGATCATCATTCCGAAACGAACATCATTATTCTTGGATTATACAAAATTATCATAAAAAATAATAATAGCGACAGCAGCGAATTGGAAAAGACAAAGGAAAAAAAAGTAGCAGCAATAGCAAAAACAATCATCAACAATTTAAACAAACGGCACGCAGAAGAAACTGCCAACCAGCCAGCCAGCCAGCAAGTGCAGAAAATTGTTTATTCGGTATTGAAATTGAACCATACAACCTTACATTTAGAGTGTTTACAATTCACACAGCCTTCATTCTGCTCTCGTTCATCCGCTTTAATTTTATTGATATATTTATTTTTTATATGCTGTTGTTGTTGTTTCGTTCTTAGTTGGCAATATTCTCACTCTCCAATATCATCATATAGAGACAATGGTTAAAACAGTTCACGACTTTAATGCACCTCATTGCACATCTGAGTGTCGATCTTTTACAGCCGATATCGAGCGTAATTGATCCGATATTGAGGCGAAATTTATATGGACGTGTGTGTTTTTTTCTTTCTCGCATGTTTATTCATTGATAGGCGTTCAGTAAAAGAACCATACAAAATAAAAATAAAAATAATTCGACATGCACAAGGAAACCCCAGAAAAGACAAGAGCTACGAAATAGAGAACCGAAAAGAGCGAAAGAGACACAAACGACCAAATAAATAAGAAAACAACAACAACAGCAACGGGCAACCGACAAACGACAACGAAAGGGAAGAAACGTTTACAAATTTAATAATTTTGTTTTTTGTTTTTGCAATGTGCGAGAGAAGCGCACAGCTGAACTGAATTCCTTCGGTTTTGACAATACAACAGCACAGGCAGGCAGACAGACAAAAGAGTGTGTCGTGTGGTTCATCTGTCTTTTGAGCATAAAATTTCGCTTTGAACAGCGGCAACAATAACACTCACACATAACGCGTCGTTGTTTCTTTTCTCTCTCCTTTTATTTTAAAAAAAAAAAAGAGCTAGTGTCCTTTTCGTATGTATCGACATGCCGCATCACCAAGGAAATGAGTTCTTGAGTGTGGTATCGTCCTTTTTTTTATTTTCTCCATGTACATCGCTCGTTTTTTGTGTATTCACACCAATGAGTGTCAGAGTTTCGATCTCTCTCTCTCTCTCTCTCTCTCTCTCTCTTTACTTTGCTCGGATATATTTTTTCGTGTTCTGGAGGGAAACGTGTTTCTTTTTTAATTTTAGAACTTGGTAAATCTTCGAAATATTTGATGGAAAGAGAGCGTCGAATATAATAACATCTCTCTATATACATACCAAATACTCTCGAAGAACCAGCCAGTCCACGTTTTGCAATTTGTTTCGGCATTTATTGTTGGTGCTGTTACGGCTGCTTCTTTGTCTGCTGCTGCTGCTCAGCTAGTTTATGCGCGAAACGAAACGAAAGAGCACAAGAAAAAGAAGCAGGAAAAAAAAAATTAGTCATATTCCCTAATGCTGTGGCATGCAATCACATGCCGCTTTCGGCAAATTATCATTTATGGGAACTCGTACAATGTGTGTGTGTGTGTGTGTGCGCGCGAATTCACGCGCGCCCGTTCACAAGAAACCACTCAAAATGTGAAGAGAAACAAAAAAAAATTGTCAGAGTGGCAGAGCAGAGCAAAAGTGAAGCGAACGAACATACAGCAGCAAAAAAAAAAAAATTCATCGTAGACTCACGAAGTTTTTCAAAAAAAAGAAGAAGTATTGTACCCACTACCAATGTGATTTTTAATGGCATTGTGACTCACTTAGTACGCTCTAGCTGTAAGTGGATTAGTGTATCTTTTTGTTTTGTTTGAGCATTGGCCCGAGTCTCTTTGTCTCTCTCTCTCTCTCTCCATCTCGATTTGCGTGTATCTCGTCCGTTGCATGGGTATATGTGTCTTCTTGTGATTTTTCTACTCTCGAAACTCTAAAAACTCGCTCGAAGGCAATTCGCACGTAAATACTGGAACTTGGTAGATTGGTGTATATGCTTTTTTCAGATTCTTTTCGTTTCACCTCATCATGAAATATCATTCATTTGTTGTCATTAACAACCGCTCGGGTTCTTATTTTTTCTATCTCTCTCTCTCTCTTTCTGTGTGTGTGTTTCTTCAACGCGCTCTCGTTGTCTACTACTAGATAAAAACGTGCTGCATCATATGATTATGTGCACTGTTTCTGCTTCTTCTTCTTCTTCATCTTTTTACATCTTTTCCTTTTCAAGTTTACAGCCGCACAGCACAATTAAAGCACTTACGTTTCGATGAATTGCTTCACTGGTGCAAGATTCATTCACTATGCTCGTACACGCGTTACAAGACCATATACCACCACCTTCATCACTGCTGCTACTGTTGCCGCCACCGCACACACCATCATCCTCCTAGAAACAAAACCATTGTACTCATGATCGTACTACTAGTGCCGCTCGTTGAATTCTAATTCGATCGTTAAATAACAATTTGTTCGTAACTCCACCGATAAATTAAGCGATTCTTTTTTATGAAACACTTGCTTCACCAGCACCAGCTCGATGGCGGTGGCGGCAGCAGTAGCGTGCAAATGAATGCACGGCGAAATACGTGGCGTTTTGAAATCGACGCTTTATTGGTATCGGTCGCTCGGTCGGTGTGCATGTATGTGTGTCTATATGACTCGGAAAAAATGCGCGCAAAAGAGAATTAGCTGCTAGTTAATGAATGAACAAGAAATTGCACAAAAATAGTCTAGTTGCAAAAAAGAAACAAGCAAAATGTGAAAAAAAAAATTTAATGAAAAAAGATAGACACACACACACACAAACAACGAGATAAAGAAATACAAGCAATTGGACACAGGGAACAAAAAATACACAGAGACACAGTCACATGAAATGTAATTAACAGAAGCGATGAAAAATTTAGAGGAGAGCAGAAAAAATTTAGAGAGCAAAATTGGGAAAGCGTCGTGAAAAAATGCTGAGGCCAAAAACCACTTTACCGTTTTTTCCTCGCCGTCGTGGTCGTGGTCGTCGTTGTTGTTTTTGCTGTTGTTGCTGTTTTTAGCTTCGTTCTATTGTTGTTTTGTTACTGGCCCATTTGAATGGGCCATTTATACATGTTATTATGCGCACTGGAAAACGCCATCCCATATAGCAGCAATCATATAGAGTGAAACGGGCCTAAGAAGAGGAAATAAACGACGTGTACGATTATGCCCTCGTCTCTATCTATCTATCCGTACATGTAATATTCTTTCTGGGTTGTATGTATGTGTTTCTGTGTATCTGTGCCTATTTTCTCTATCCATTGCTGCTCATTTCTTCTTTTTTGCTTCCTTTGTGATTATCATCGCAAAATGTCTTTACTCTAATTCATTTTGTATAATTATGTGTAATCTGCATGCTCTCGCAATGAGTCAATAGACAAGTATTCCACGTAAAACCATGCGCCACTTGATTGATTTCTCTCTCGCTCGCTCGCTCTTTATCTCTCGCACTTCAATCGCCACTTGAATCATTCACGTTTGATTCATAACAGAAGCGCTCAGCTTTTTTTTCGTCTTCAAATGAATGTTATTATCGTTTAAGTGTAAAAAAACGACGACGATAAAGAAGAAGTACAACAACAACAAGCATAACAAATGCGGTTTTATTTCCCACTTTGCTTGTTCGAAGTACATGTGACCCCTGTCTGTATGTATACAGATCAATGTCTAACGTTTTCATTTCATCAGCTCGTTGATGATCGGCTTGATTTTAATAGATCAACTTTCACAATATTCAATTTGTTACTAAATTTCGATTGATATCATTAATATCACACTGACTTACATCAATAAAAATCGACCGAATTCAAACGCGAGCTACGTGCATGTGTTTTTAGATCAACGTTGACACAAACGAACTCAATTCAAGCTCGTAAAGTTCATGCGTAGGGCGATTTGTTTTTTCTATGTATACAGTACAGAGTAAAAAAAGAGATACGGTCCAAATGAACCATGCTAATTATATCACGAAAAAAAACAATGGCATTTAACATTTTTTGTTTGAGCTGAGATGATCTTTTGTTGTTTGTTTTTTTTTTCGTTCGTTTGTTTCGAGAGAAAACTCTTGATTTGAAAGTCATTTGATTCCAGTGAATTTTTGCCGGTTGCGTCGTCGTCGTCGTCGCATTCTTTCTTCTTCTTGCGTATTCTCTGTGTGAACAATCACATAGCCATGATGGCGAAGATTGTCAAGAACCAACGGGAATATACGCTTTCAAGACAATACTGTTTTGAAAATTAAGAAGAAAAAATAGCGTCATGACCAAAGACCAACTCATTCACTGCCGTACAAACGCAATGTCTACTTCTTTCAGCTTTCTGCTCTAATTCAATGGAAAAATATATGCTGAGACACAAACGAATGAGAGAAAAAACATCAACAGCAGTAACAGCAAAAGAAGATACGACGTCACATTTATATTCATTTCATAACGATTTTCTTCTATTTCGTTTCTTTACAATTTGTTCCAAAACGCAATGAAAAAGAGTTGTTTCTTTATTCCATTTTTTTTTTTATTCCGACCCAACAAAAACAGCAACGTACACAAACAGAAAAATTTGTCCAGAAAGAGAAAAGGTCGAATGAAGAGTTTGACCGCTTTGACGACTGATAGTCTCCGCGGAATTTTTTTCCCTAGTTCGTGTGTGACATACGTTTTTCTTATTTCGCTGCTGAAATTCTATCGCACGATCATCACACAATTACATTCCGTTGCGTTGAGTTTGCGAGATTTTGGAATGATAAAGGGAGAGAGAGAAAAGAAGAATTTTTTTTTATCTGGATTTGTTTTTAATTGTACCAGTTCTTCGTTCATTATTTCAACATGAGCATTTGCTCTTTTTTCTGTTTATTGTTTTGTACCTTCGTCTTCTTTCATTACACATTTGTCATAACATGGATTCATTTCGTCATCTTATATGGTTTATTTTGTCTAACATTTTCTAGTTCATATATAGATAAGGATTTTTATTTTGTTTTGTGTCATATTTAACGTGAATTTGATTCATTGACTGTGTTTGTTTTTATCTTTTCTTCCCATTTCGCACACATTTTTCTCTAGATTTGTTTTGAAATGACGTTAGAGAAATCTTACTGGAAATTATCCATTATCATCATCATCATATATGATAAACATTGGTAATCATTGTGGTACATTATCCTGTCGCACACATACACACACACGGGCTGCTTCTTCTCTGTCATTTTACGTACATATGATGAGCATCGGAGTGTTTTGTTGAAAGAGAGAAACGTAGAAGAAAACAGAAGAATATTGTCTTTTGTTCCAAAGGGCACATATCCAAATCGTAAACGAACTAGCTAGAGAGACGAGAAATTCGGAAGGAGTTGAGACAAATAGACGAAGAGGGATTGACAAAATTTTAATATCCACAATGCTGGTAACAATGGATCCAAGTTCAGGGCCTCATCCGGCCCGTGCTCCATCTATAATGGATAGCCCAACGTTGGCGCGCGTGGAACGTGCACGTATTCGGCTTGAGGCACAAGCATTGAACAACAATGAAAACCACAGCTTAGAGCGACGCATTCTCGATCCAAAGGTGAGTCACACATAGCCGTCATACGCTCTCGAAAAATTCCCTCGTTTTGTTTTGGTTTGTCGTCGTCGTCGTCGTCGTCGTCGTCGTTGTTGAAGTACACACGGTGATTGTTGTTGTCATATCGATGGATGAGTATTTTTTGTGCGCTACCTATTTTGCTGATTCGATTGTTGACTCATTAGTTTCAGTTCGTGTGCGACACTGATCTCTATTCCATTCGTACGTACACGCACCAAAGCGAAACTCTCTCGCATACACACCAATAAATTGTCATCAATTGTGACTATTATTTTTATTATTATTACAACGTATTATTGCCAATCGTTGCATCGCATTAGAATATTCCGAGAGTCGAGTTGAATCGTCGGCATTGTATTGTTTCTTCTTCTTTTTTTCCTCCTTCGTATAGTCGCTGTGTATTCGGAATGGAACATAAAGAATCAATTTATGTTAATTTGATACGTGCTCTCCTGAAATGCCTCACCGAATCCAAAATGCGTTTTTCTTTATCGGATTTCGTGTGTTGTGTATGTTCGTTCGGGCGTCACTCACTCACTTTTCGATTTTTCTCGGTGTGTACGTTTCTTTTTTTTTCGGCAATTTCGATTTTTGTGTGCTTTGTACTGGGGACAAGTGTTTGTGTGTATGCATATATCGTATCCCTTATCATATAAACTGCAACACCATACAGGTATCAAAACGTACACAATAAGAAAAAAAGTCATTGAACTATTTCATTTTTTATGCTCTCCGCATATTTGCTTTCGTTTACTTAAAATATTTGAAATTATAATACGCATCGATTTCTGGCAAATTCAACTACCGGCGAAGAGAAGAGATAAAAGGAAAGCGTCGATTGAGGCAGAAGAAAATAGAGAGAGAGAGAGAGAGAGAGAGAGAGAGGGCGAGAATGAAGCAAAAAAGAGAGATAGAGATTGAATGGAAAAAGGACCGGAAAAAATCGAATGAAAGAGACAAGAGTTTACAAGTAGTTTGAAACTGAACATTCATTATAATTCCCGGTAATTTGATGATTTGTCGTTTTTTATTCCATTCGTTCGACGATCTCTCTCTCTCTCTCTCTCTCTCTCGAAAACCAATTCACAATTCGTTTTGAAAGACTTGCATCGAATACTGAACAGTGTTTCGGTGAACACCCAAAAATCCTTTCGCTGCCATTTCTCACGTGTGTAAGCGAATTGTGTGTTGAGCGGATATTAGAAAAAATAATGAATTGGCATATTCTCAAATGAACATTTATATAAAACAGCAAAAATATTCAGTTTCTATAGATGGAATGAATAATGATATGTCACGGTTGTCAATAGATATCCACAGTCTTGATGACTGTGGTGACCTAATAATGAAAAAAAAGAGATAAATAAGAGAATTACCTGGAGTGTCATAATCTCCTAAGCACAAAATATGTTGTTCACGACAACGATGACGACCGCTCCGCTTTCGGATGATATCATTCGCTCTATGTGCGGGCTGTTGCTGAATCGATCGAAAATGAGTGTATTAAAAAAGCAGCCACAGCAGCAGCAGCAGCTGAGCTGCTTTTAGAAGCATAAATGATGAACACTTTCAGTCTCTTTCAGCTATTGGTTCTGGTATGTTGGGTTGATTCATTTAACTTCTTTCGAAAATAAAATAAAATCAATGCGCGCACGGTGCGATCTCGCTTAATATTCATTATTCAATCAAGCGTTTTATTTATGACTGCTGTCATTTTGGTCGTATCTCGAATGTAGTGTTGGCCTTCGAACACATTTGAACACTTGTTCGACCGTTCGTCAACATAAAAAGAAACTGTTTTGTTCGTTCGTTCGGAAAGTTTAAAAAAAAATTATTTTGTTCGTTCGTTCGGAGATTCAGAAAAAAAATGTTGTTCGTTCGGATAATATGCTACGGTTGAACATGTTCGGATTTTATTGAATTAAAATATTGAAAAATTTCTGTTTTATGCAAAACTATTTTACAAATCATTCATCTAAATAATTTAAAGAAAGTTCATAAGACCATTTCGTAACGAAAGCAAATTAGAAACAGTTTCTGGCAGGAGATTGGAACGCCGCGCTGTTATCAATATGCCCGTTTCATTAAATTTCCGTTCTGATGGTGCTGATGATGCTGTTATCCCGGCCTTGGATACAAATAATCGATCTAAATTTGGAAAAGTATACCGACACAAATCAAATTCATAGGGATCTTTGAATTCGATTTTCACATTTAATTATCGTTGAAGTTCATCAGTGAATTCAGATGATGGTGGTGTGTCGATAGATGATGTAGATAGACCTGTGAACTAGACAAAAACACCATTTCCATGAAAAATAAAAACCATTCACAAAACTCCATTCTCGCCTACAAAATAGCACGACTTTCGGATTGCGTAAACCCAAACATTTTGCGAAAGTTGAAATGAGTCGCGTGAGACACACATACACGCACCGAACACAAAAAAAAACCATTACAGCAAAAGTGTGCATTAATTGAGAGTGTGATCATTGAACAATGTTTTCACATTTGAAATTTGTTTCTTTTTTCGTGCTCTCTCTCTCTCTCACGCGCGCACACTCACGAACGCCGTCATAAGCGAATATGAATCATATTTGGATGCATTCACAGCATGATACTAGTTTCGAATCTTCCGATTTCGCAGCCCAAAGACGGCTTTATACACACGTTTTGACCTTTAGAATGTGTCGACACATCAATTAAAGGAGAGCGAGATAAAATAGCATGAAACGGCCATAAATCGAGTGGAGTCAAAGCGAGAGATAAATACATAAAATGACTTTGTTTTTTTCTTCTTTCGAACGTTGTATCGATATCGAAAGATGTGATTCATTGTTCTTAATGCGGAAATAATAGCTGCTCGGCGACATAAATATTCAGGAAGATTTTGTTTCTCCCGCTGTGAGTGAATTCCGTAAAAAGCAAATTTCGTAAATTGCCATTTGCTAATAGCATTTTATGTGACACCGAAAGAGCGAGAGGCTAACACTCATTTAGATTTCGTAATGGAAAAGTCAACAGTGGAATCGAGTCGAATGGATTTTGTTGTGTGTGCGAATTCTTCTCCTTTGGTCTTCAAATTTTTGGCATTTTTGTCGCATCATTTCGTTTGATCTGCTTGGACAAATTTGCAAGGGCAAATCGCAACACCGACTGTTGCCAATTGTTGTTTATAGTTTAGCGCGGCCGGTCAGCAGCTGCACCAATTCTTTGGCGCGTTCGTGTCGCCTTTGAAATTCTCCGGTTTTGTGGTCACACAATCGCGTTTTGTCGCGCGCGCTCTTCGACGTGCACGAAGACGCATTTTAGTTTTTGGCGTCGCAATGTCTGAAAATAATTCGTAATTGCCATGTTGCGTGTAGACATGTTTGTTCCTATGTACTTCGAGCTATAGTACGTAAAAGAAGTGTTTGTGTATGCAAGAGGAAATGGCCAATAACAGACGTGTGCGCAAAAACATTTCAGTCGAAAATTGCACAGGCATTTCCATTCGCAACCGAGCCGGTTGAATGTATAGTCGATAGAAAGAACAAAACAAAAAAAAAATTAACTGTGTGTGTATTTACTTCAGCTGCTTGGCAAACCTGCTGTTTCAAGTGCAGATGTTACTTTATTGGCACATTATAGCACGAATTGGAAATGCAAATGTGATCAGTCGCGGTCGGCAGTTCGGCCATTAAACGTAGTTATGAAATTCGAATGGTTAAACTGACTTCAATTTCGAATGTACAATCACAAACAATTTGTTTTTATTTGTCTCATTCTTTTGACGGTGATTTCATTTTCGAGTCATTTATTTGCGAATTCATGCCTCATTAATCCAAATTCTAGTCCAAATTCATATATGATTTACGAAAAATGTTAAAATATACCGCAGCCCTTTGCTCACGACAGGAAAAATATGATCGATGACCTTGATTGAGGCATTCGACAGAGTGTGTCGGTTCACGAACATTCATACAGGTGGAAGTGCCACCACAGTGACACTCGAGCTCGCTTCAATTTATGCAAGTGGCAAAAAAGCTTCTCACTGCTTTTTCATACCTTAAAATAAATCAAACAAACCAGTTAAACTCACCGTTATGTTGTGAAACAAACAGTGTGTGGTTGCGCGCTGTCAGAGCGCGCACAGCACCGGCATCGCTGGCTGTTTATCATAGAGAGTACAATGTACTTGCCATCCAATACCAATGTACAGTAGCACCAGCAGCAACAATGAGAATAAAGTAGTAGCAGCAGCAGCAGCAGCAGCAGAAACGAATTTGAATCAGCAAAGCAAACAAGTGATTTTAAGACCATTGACTTTGTACACCGGACAATAACAGCTGGGCTATTAGCACGAAATTTGTTTTCGATTTTCTTCGGTTTTCGCAATGGATCACGGTACAGCGGTTCACGCTTGCTTCTCCAGTGCTCACTAGACCACATATCTATGAAATTGAAAAGTGATTTTTTTCTTTCTTTTCGAATATGATGTGAATTGGAGAGAAGAAAAAACATCTTTTACACTGACGAAAGAGATCAGTATGCGTCTAGTCTGATAGAACTAATGGGGCCATTGCATCTCCATTGGAAACCTTTCGCCACCGACGCCACAGCCGCTGCTGATGCTGATGCTGTGCTGTGCCATGCACAATTTTAACAGACACACGGCTCTGAAGTATTGCCGAATAAAAACAACAGATTTCATTGCTTCATTCCCATTGTTTTTGGAACACAGTCTATAACGCCATAGTTTAATGCAATTCTTCTTGATATCTCACATTAACATATATATATCTTCGATGAAAATGGAATATCATCAGAAAAAAAAAACTGCTGATGATTACACCGAAAACAACAACGAAAAAAACTCATGTGTTTGATGGTATCGCGAAAATGTGAAGCGAATGGCTGTTTCGCATTTTCACAATTTATTTTATTTCTCTCTCTCTCTCTCTCTCTCTCTCTCTCTCTCTCTCTCTCTCACTCTACCAATG